TTGTGTGATAAGAAACCACAATCAGCAAACAGAACACGGATCCACGATATTTGGAGGACAAAGTTCTTTTTGCCCACCCTGGTTCCTGCAAGCTGTATGCAACTGCCCCAGAAACATATGCATAACTGTTTGCCATGAGACTGAAAATGGAGGATGGGTAGCTTCTACTGTGTTAAGAGCTGAAATTAACCACAATTTACTATCCAAGTCTTCCTCTGAAAGTTGCATGCGTTCAATAGACTCCAGAGTTCCCAAAGAGTTACATCAGATAGATTCTTCCAGTGCAATTTTTGTCCACATGGGGAGAGAGATTCCTAGTGCAACCTACTCTTACCATCTTCCCAGAATCCTCTGGCAGGGATGAGGTGGTGGTGGTAGATCTTTAGGATCTACAAAAATAGGATCCTATGAACAATCCTAAAGAAGGGAAACTCTGAAATATTATGCTTTATTCTCATTTATAATGTCATACCCAAAGACAAATAATATTAATAGCTCCCACACACTGAGCTACTGCAGTTGTGTTCAGAGTGTTACAAGTATCATCTCGTTTAATATTCACAACAACAAAGGTGAAGTGGGTAATGTTAGATTGCTTTTACAGATTAAATTGATAAGATTAAAGCCACACAGCTTGTCAGAGGTAGAGTTGGGTAAATGATACATGGCTCTCCATTTACGTGGTTTGGCGATCAGAAACCTGCTAGAAACAGAGACAAGTAGCTCTAATAGTTTGGCCTGATGTGAAGAGCTGACTCTTTGGAAAAGATCTTGGTGCTAGGAAAGATTGAGGGAAATAAGAGAAGGTGACAGAGGGTGAGATGGTCGGACGGCATCACTGACTCACTGGAAATGAGTTTGAGGAAATTCAGAGAAGTAGTGAAGGACAGGGAAGCCTGGATGTTCATGGGGTCACAAAGAGTCAGACACAACTTAGCGACTGAACAGCAACAGATTGAAATTCACAGGGATGAGCCTTTCCGTGCACCAAACAAGGAAGAGAGTCAGAGAATGGATCCAGGGGAATAGTCAAATAGAGAATAAACACATATTAGAAATAAAAGTCAAAATAGACTAAGCAAGATTACTTTGGAAATAGTAAAAATAATCAACAGTTAAGAAAACTAAACTAACTTGACAATATAAACTATTGAAAATCATAGATATAAACTATAGAAACATGTCTACATATAGAAGGAATAAGTAAGTTGAATTTCAGATGACAAATATTGATGCTAAAGATTGAGAACTTATAAGTGGTGGGGATTTTCTGTTATGAACAAAGGTGGTGGTTGTGTATTTCTCTTCCTGGCACATTGTAGCTCTCTAATATGAATGAATGAATCAATACTGAAAATTGTAAAAATAAAGGAAACAAAAATTGATAAGACATTAAATTTTTAACTAAAAGCAAAACCAATAATAAAAGCAAAAACACTTTTGGATTATTTGAAGTAGAAAATGTAAATCAATGTTAAAGGCACAAAAAAATCAAGCCAACCTTGGTTTTTTCTCTGCTGCAACAAATAATATCACATATTCTTTTAAAGAACCTTTGGAGGAAAGATTACCTAAGAATCTGGAGCCAATTCAACCCAGGTGGCTCAGTGGTAAAAACTCAGCCTGCCAAAACAGGAAACTTAGGAGACGCGGGTTTGATCCCTGGGTCAGGAAAACCTCCTGGTGGAGAAATGGCAACCCAGTCCAGTATTCTTGCCTGGAAAATCCCATGGACAGAGGAGCCTGGCAGACTACAGTCCATGGGGTCACAAGGACTCCAACATGACTGAGCAACTGCTCATGCACAACTAGTTGTTCATATGCAAAACCAACAGAAGAATGTTATAAATATATTTCATCAAATATGAGCTTTATTAAGTGTAAGATACACTTGGTTCTATTCACACAAAGAAAGGAAAAACTCTTCCAGTTAAACTTTAACACAGTGTTTTAACAATGATAATGGGTGATGCATGGATTATGCTGACCTTATTTCCCCAGCTTGGTGTGTGATAAGGCAATAATTTCATGTGTATCTTCACAGTAGAACGTGCAATTTCATCTACTTATAGGCTTCTTTCCTCTTAGGTCATGTAAAATAGTTGGCGATTGTTCTACAAGAAAATGTGGTAGTGTGGTAATTCTTTAGTGCCATTTGCTTTTTTTTGATAAATATAGGCCATGCTTTGTTTTCCTCTCCTGCTGAACCCACAATAATTTTGTTTCAATACAAAGTTATAATGTAATATTTTAAAGCATTTTAAGCAGCATTATAACTCAACATGTGTGTATTGTATCAGTCAGTGATCCAGGGAAGTAATGACAATATAAAGATCGGAGACAAAGTATTGCTATAAGCCCCTGTAGCTAATTGACTACTATGGCATGAGTGCCACCTAGTGGACGATGATTATGAGACATCAATTATAAAACGTCCGTTTCCAAGATGTTAAAATGTGAAAGAAGTCTACCTTATGTTTATAGATGAAATACAGCATATGGAACCTTAGTAATTGTAATGGTTAATTTCATGTGTTGACTTGACTGAGCCAGTGAAAGTCACTCAGTCGTGTCCCACTCTTTCTGACCCTATGGATTGTAGCCCACCAGGCTCCTCTGTCCATGGAATTCTCCAGGCAAGAATACTGGAGTGGGTTGCCATGCCCTCCTCCAGGGCATCTTCCCAATCCAGGGATCTGACCCAGGTCTCCCACATTGCAGGCAGATTCTTCATCGTCTGAACTACCAAGGGGTGCCCAAATTAAACATATTTCTGCACGTGTCTGTGTGGCTGTTTCTGGACCAGATTAACATTTGAATCTATAGACTGCCCTGCCCAGTATGGGTGGGTATCATCCAGTCTGTTGAAGACCTAAGTAGAACAAAAAGGTAGAGGAGGGAGGAATTCACCCCTTCTGCTTCTTGTGCACCTGCTCAAGTTGGAACATCTGCTTTCTGCTCTCCCACCCAACAACCCAGTTCTCAGGCCTTCGGGCTCCAACTAGAAGTCACACCACCAACTCCCCTGGTGTTTGGACCTCTTCTCTACCTTGCAGACAGAAGGTCATAGAACTTCTCAGCCTCCATAACTGCATGAGGTAGTTCCTCATAATCTTCTTAATAACTAAATACACATATTGGCTTGTCCAGGGTGATTCTGGTGAGAGAGTCTAGGAGATATATACACACACACACACACACACACACACACACACACACACACACACACGCACACACCTTGTGGCGAAAGTCAGTAGGATTTCCTGATGGATTGGATACAGGGTGTGACAGAAAGAGCGGTGTTAAGAATGGCACCATGGTTTCTGGACTGAGCAGCTAGAATAATGCAGTTGCCCTTATTGGAGATGAGGAAGACTTCCCTAGTGGCTCAGATGGTAAAGAATCTTCCTGCAATGCGGAGACCATGGTTCGATCTCTGGGTTGAGAAGATCCCCAGAGAAGGGAATGGCTACGCACTCCCGTATTCTTGCTGGAGAATTCCATGGACAGAGGAGCCTGGTGAGCTACAGTCCATGGGGTCACAAAGAGTCAGACACGACTGAGTGAGTAACAAGGCTGAACATGGAGGAAGTTTGTGTGAGGGTGAGGAGTGCAGTATGGGATCAGTTCCGTGGGAGATACTTGGCTGACATGCATATGGAGATGTCATTAGACAGTTATAGAGTTCAAGTCTAGAGTTCAAGAAGGAGAAGGCAATGGCACCCTACTCCAGTACTCTTGCCTGGAAAATCCCATAGATGGAGGAGACTGGTGGGCTGCAGTCCATGGGGTCGCTGGGAGTCGGACACGACTGAGCGACTTCACTTTCACTTTTCCCTTCCATGCATTGGAGAAGGAAATGGCAACCCACTCCGGTATTCTTGCCTGGAGAATCCCAGGGACGGGGAAGCCTGGTGGGCTGCCGTCTGTGGGGTAGCACAGAGTCGGACACGACTGAAGCGACTTAGCAGCAGCAGCAGCAGAGTTCAGGAAAAGAGTGAGATGGGAGGTTTCAGTTTGGGAATCATCCACATAAAGATGTATTTAAAAACCTGAAACTGGACAAGATATCTTGAGAGAGTAAGAGAAGAGATCTGAGAACTGAATCCTGGGTCACTCCAGTATTTAGGGGTTAGGACAGGAGAATGGGCCAGGAGACCCTGGCCAAACTGGGAAATGAGCGGGCTTGGTGGCTGGGGCTTGGGCATCAGCCTTTCTCACACTGAGACTTCAGCGTTCATCGTCCATCCAGGAGAGGGCGCACTCGCTCTCGGTGGGTCAATGTCTGGTCTAGTGAATGTTGCTGCACCACCAGATTACTGGCAGGACACAGGAGCAACGGGAGATAACCCAGTCTGGTTCAACATATTAATCCTAGTATAGCTAATGACCCAGTGGTCTCTACTGATAATTCCCCTTGCCGCCCCGAGGGTTATTTTCGCACTGCCTTCCACCTACTGGGAAGTCTGAGTTCAGTGTTATGAAGAGAAACCACCGCCAGGGGGAGCTAGCCTTCTTTCCTCCAGACATCTGCTCACTCTGTCCTTCACCTGCTTCAAACGGGTTCGGTAATGGAGCTTGAAAAAAAAAAACTTTCCTTGGACTTAACAAAAACTAACATGAATTTGCTAATTATGGAGCGCTTCTCTCACCTCTTAGTTTAAATAGAGTTTTTATAAGGTAGAGTTTTAAAAGTTCTCTAGTTGTATCATCCAATACTTTGGCCACCTGATGTGAAGAACTGATTCACTGGAAAAGACCCTGATGCTGGGAAAGATTGAAGGCAGGAGGAGAAGGGGACGACAGAGGACGAGATGGTTGGATAGCATCACCGACTCAATGGACGTGAAGTTGAGCAGGCTTCTGGAGTTGGTGATGGACAGGGAAGCCTGACGTCCTGCAGTCCATGGGGTTGCAAAGAGTTGGACACAGCTGAGCAACTGAACTGAACTGAAGTGTATCATATCAATATCAAGTGATATCCATTTCTTTCCTAACAGGGTTAGAAAAATATAGTAATATTGGATCTATTTCTGATAAAATTTTCAGTTTATACTATGACCACATGGGATTCATACATAAACTGACTCCAGACCACTTTGAAGCTGGTGGATCACTTGCTGCCTTTGGAAATTCTAAAGGTATTTTTGGACAGGTCAGTGATTTTTTGTGTTGAAACAGTTTGCCTTATTTTAATAGATGTCATATTCTATATACAGAGAAATAGGGAAACAGGAAAGTGTTTTCCCTGGGACAAACACTCTTAATACTCTTTGCTATTTTTAACTAAAGGAAAAACCTTCATATATCAGGGAACATCTCCAAAACCTTTCAAGTTCCATACAGAGCCTTATAGATTTACACACACCTGGAATATTTTCATATAAATGTTTTCACAGCAAACCACCAGATATTCTAAACTAGATCCAACCCAGGTTTACAGTGAGTTTGACTCTCTCAAGGTTGACCTTAAAGAAACATAAGTTCTGGTTTTTCCCACTCTTGACTTTTTTCTTTCTTACTAACCCTTCCCACTTGTTTCTTCCTTTTCTAATGCTAACAGAGAAAGGAATAATCATCTGCATCACAGATGATACTTCATGCAGATTTTTCTAATAATTTTAATGTATAATGGGCCACTTATAAAGATATTTGAACCTAAAAACTCATCACGGAACACATAATCATAATAATGAATTCCCATCAATATATCAGCAAATAAGCAGATTTTTTAACTGGGAACTAATAAAATCTGCACTTTAGCTTAAAGGATATATAATGAAGGGTGACTCTAGTTTTAATAGATCACTCAAAGTTACCAGGCCAAGACTGCGGTTCAGAACACGGTGCTTTAACTTTCCTGTCTTCTGAGATACTGGCAGAGAAAAAAGTGGAACTTCCTAGTGACAGTAAGATGCCATCATGTGACTCCCTGTGTGATTTATTCACCAGTCTGTTGTGTGGTGCTACATAGAAACAAATAAAATCCTGTGATCAGCAGGGTAGCCCTAACCAAAAAAGCAGTTACCTCAATTTTCACTAACTTCACAATTTGTAGAAAATATTCTCTTACGTGAAAGTTTAAATTATTAAAATCAAAAGCCAAGATGGGTTTTTATACTCAGGGTGAGTGCATTCAAGGAGTTTGCACTCGGTATTATCACCTCCCTCTCCCAAAACAAACTATATCTGTGTCCTCTCTGAATACACATGATCCATAAGCCTTTTTTTGGCTCTGAGTAGTTGCCAAACACTGTCGTGACACTTAGTCTTTATAACAATTACTTATCCTCATGTTACCCACAAGGAAAGTGAGGCACAGGGAGGGTAAATAATAATTCGCCCCAAATTATATACACCACTGGCTAGTTCCTGGAGTCAGGCATCAAATCAGTTTGGGGCAACAGGTTCAGGACCTGTGCTATGCTGTCTTTCCCAGGACTTGCACGTTCTTTCACGGGATATTCTTGCCACTCCCAGTCTCGAATGTCACACAGAACTCTTAAAGCCTTGTCAGCAGTTTTCAAGAGTCCTTAAGCCATCTGTTCAATACAGTTCAATTCATGTTCAGTCCCATGTGTATTCTCCTGGCATCTGTTTCCCATTCTCTCCCCTTCTCAGTGAGTTCCCAAATTTCAGAGACCAGAGGAAAAGGCATGACAGAACGTGGGTCTGAATGGCACTGCTCGATGGTGGCTGCTCCATCATACTGCAGCATCTACCCCTCCGTCCTCATGTCACAGCAACCAGGCAACTCCAGCATCCCCTTGGGACAGGTCACCACCTGTCTTCTCACTCCTACAATTTCCCAAAGCTGGACAAGATCAGCATCAGAGAAGGGCATGTTGGAAAGATGACTTGCAGATCAGAAATCTGGTCCAAAGTTGTCTGTGTTGAGTGAGAGAAGTCTTGTGAACCACCAGCCTCGAGGACTCAGCAGCAGCAGTACAGAGTTACCAGCATGACATGGGGGGAGTAGCTCTCAAGTGTCAGGAGGTGCTTCTCAGCCCCTTGCTTACAGAACACTCCAAGCAGGAGCCAAGCTCTAGAACCTGCACTTCTAAACTCTTCCCCCACATGTGAGACAAGACTCAGGTCTGCTGTTGCAGCCTTCTATACAGGAATGTTAAACTGAAATTCACTCTTCAGAATTTCTCCTCCTCCTCAACAGAAAAGTGTGTTTTCCCTCCCATCTGCATGGATATTCAGCGATATGTCTTCTAGTGATAAGAAAAGCAATGTTGTTTTGATGTGAAATGGAAGCAAATCCATTATTTGCATTTTGTCATAATGGAATTATGCTGTTGTTGTTCAGTCACTAAATTGTGTCCAACTCTTTGCAACCCCATGGACTGTAGCACGCCAGGCTTCCCTGTCCCTTCACTATCTCCTGGAGTTTGCTCCAACTCATGTCCACTGAGTTGGTGATGCCATCCACCCATCTCATCATCTGTAGCCCCCTTCTCCTCCTGCCCTCAATCTTTCCCAGCATCAGAGTCTTTTCCAATGAATCAGTTCTTCACATTTGGTGGCCAAAATATTGGAGCTTCAGCATCAGTCCTTCCAATGAATATTCAGGGTTAATTTCCTTTGGGATTGACAGTTTGTTCTCCTTGCAGTCCAAATAAATTCATTATTTTCTCTCTTCATGTTCCAGGCTTTTGACATGGGCTTTGACACTGCCCTTGCTCCACAGTATCTCACCTTAAATGAAATGATATTTTATGCATATGTGCCCAAGAGTGAACCGAAGGATAGAGTATACACCAAGAGGTTCTATGACATTCACTTTGGGAAATTGATACACTCCAGGTAGGTACTGATTAGCTTCACAGATTGTACACTGTTATCTAAATTCTAACTTTTGAGCCTACCTTTTAGAGTAATTTTCTTAGTCAAGGAGAGAAAGTGTTTTTGAACACCTTGCAAGATCAAATACATTAGTAGACTTCAAGGTGCTTTGCACAGTGCCCCGGTTTTAGGAGCATGGGGCCAGGTATATCAGCACCATCAGGCCAACCTAAATAAATGTGTACTTGTTGTCCTGAGTTTCAAAAATGTCTGGGCCACACTGGGTACGGCTTATCCTCAGAGCCCACCCCATGGCAGTTGTCATATGTCCTATGACAAACAAATCTAACATAGAGGAGGCCATCCTGCATGAAATACCGCCTGACAGGGTATGCAGCGTTCTCAGCAATGCTTTCTTCAAGGATATTAGCAAGAGCCAATGACCCTGAAAGCTGCCTTTAAGGCCTAAAATCTTTGAAAAACAATATGAATTCTACAAGTACCCCCTCCCCCCCACACACATCTAACAACCAGAAAAGGAATAGTCTCAGATTACCAGAAACTCACCTGTTCCCAAACTGGTGAGCCCTGTTCCACCAGGTTGAAATCTCTCTATTATACATCCATTGGTCTATCAACTAGATAATGTCCCATAGCCAACAGATCCTGGAGAAGGAAATGGCAACCAACTCCAGTACTCTTGCCTGGAAAATCCCATGGACAGAGGAGCCTGGTAGGCTGCAGTCCATGGGATCGCTAAGAGCCAGACACGACTGAGCGACTTCACTTTCACTTTTCACTTCCATGCATTGGAGAAGGAAATGGCAACCCACTCCAGTGTTCTTGCCTGAGAATCCCAGGGACGGGGGAGCCTGGTGGGCTGCCGTGTATGGGGTTGCACAGAGTCGGACATGACTGAAGGGACTTAGCAGCAGCAGCAGCAGCAGCCAACAGCTCCATGCTCTACCCAACACCTCCCTCAGAGGTAGATTGTGCAGACAGGAAGCAAACATAATATAGCAGATGTTGGCATCAGGTTTTATTCCACAATGATTGTAGAATCTTCTGTCTCTAAGAAAAGTATCCGTGATCATCAAGAACTATTTGTTTTTGATGGCTTTTGTATGTGTGTTATTACAAATCCATTAGTGCCTGTTTATATAGGTATGTCTTTGTAAGAAACATAGAGAATCACTCTTTAAAATTAACATATGATCAGCATCATCTCAATGTTAATATCAATTTTTATCCTAATTATTTTGAAAGCATATGATAATTCTCTAAAAGATCAGAATGTTTAAAAAGCATCATAGCATGTTCTATGTTCAGTTAGTAACTTTGCTCACTTGCACAGAAACTAGAGAATGGGCATTTCTGAGGAAGGACATGGTAGCAAAGAGCTAGGATCTGGAAACTGGAGGCAGGTGGGACTTCAACCAGAAAGGTCAAGGATTTGGGAGCCAGAGTCATGTGGTCAGCTGTAGGTTAAAGGAAGATGTCTAGGTGGTCAGGGGTGAAGCAGGATGAGCCCTATATTTTCCTCTTCCACAAAGAGTTTTTCATTACTGTATTTGACCTTCACTAGGTCATGCTGACAAATTTTCTCTAGCCAGGTAACTTGTGTGAATAGCACCCTGTCTTGGATCTTCTTGGCCTTTGTTCTTGCACTTAAATGTTAGATTCAGCTAGTCAAGTTCCATTAAGGAAAAAAAAAAAAAGCACAACAACCTGTTAATAAAAATTACTTCTTGCAACCAAATTCTGCTTTATAGCTGCAGTTAGATCCTGGGTGGAGAGTCCTGACTCTTCTTGCAGTAGGACACTCTATTTGTGCTCCAGAATTTTACGCCCAAGACAACTTCCTGACTCTCCATAAGGATAGAGGGTTATTATTTTAGTCTTCCCTTACTCATAATGTGTCTTTGCCTGTGCCCCAGTGACGGGTGGCTTTGCTTCTTCTCTCTCCAGTTTAAAGCTTCTGCTGTGTAGAGGAGAGAGGGGAGGTGGGAGGGAAGGGGAGGGAGCCAGGGCTTCAGTGCACCCTCCAGGCCCTCCTCCCCTGCCAGGATCACCTCTTTTGAGGCCCGTGTTTAACTGTTTAATGCCCAGCCAAGGCTTTTGCTTCGTATGAAAGAAGGTTCAGGGAAGTGAATGAGACTTCCTCCCTGTTTCCTCCCACCCTCTCCAACCTCCCTATAATGACCTGGCCCGGCACTCCCTTGCTGCCTGCACCACCAGCAAGGGCTTTCTCTGGTCCACTCTCTGCCCCAATCTTTCTCCTGAGGCCCATGGGAAGGAGCTTGCAAGTGAGTGCAGCTCCCTTTTGAAAGGTGCCCCAGAATTTCCAGACTCACATACCAGCACATCTTGGTCTTTGACAGTTTTTTGTTTGTTTTTTTCTATTTTTAGACATTTCTTGTTTATTTCTTTTGTGGCCAGTACCATGTTTCTCCCTTCTATGCTTTTCCACAAGTGAGACTGTTCCTGTGTTCAGACTCTCCTTGGAATGGCTTATTCCCTTGGATTTCTGGTTAGTTCTTGGATGGCTTAAGGAAAGTGACAACTTTGTGATTTATCCATTTTGGTTCATTGCTTGTTGGGCTGCTGCTTTCTTCATCAAAAGCCAAAACAGAATGCCTTATAACTGACTTTTGTGTAGCAATCTCAGGTGTTTCAAATTTGCTAAACTCATTTGCTGATTCTAGTACTTTTTCTATATATTCTTTTGGATTTTTGGAGTAGGGGTAAATATTTTTCTAAGCAGATAATCACATCACCTGCAGATAATTTGTTTATTTTAACATCTTTTAGCATATTATACATTTCTTTCTGTTACAGTATCTAGGAGATTTTTAAATATAAATGAAGCTAATGGGTGTCATTCTGTTCAGGCTGCTCTAATCAAACACAAAAAAACTGGATGGCTTATGTGTATGTGCTAAGTCACTTCAGTCATGTCCAACTCTTTATGACCCCAGGGGCTATAGCCCACCAGGCTCCTCTGCCCACGGGGATTCTCCAGACAGATGGCTTATAAACAAATGTATTTCTCACAGTTATGAAGACCAGAAGTCTATGATTAAGGTGCCAGTATGGTAAGTTTCTGGTGCAGGCTCTCTCCTGGGTATATATTGCCAACTTCTCGCTGTGTACTGTCATGATTGAGAGGGGCAGGGTACTAAACTGATTCACAAATGCTTCACCTGCATGACCTGAATTGCTTCCCAAAAGCTTCATCTCCAAATACCATCACTTTGGGCATTATGTTTTCAACACAGGAATTTTGGAGGGATACAAATATTCAGACCATTAGCAGTGGGCTTCCTTGTTCCTGACTTTAAAAAAAAATATTTTAAACATTTCACCATCACATAGTATCCTTTCCATACATTTTAAAAAACTATTTTTCATTTACAGTTATCTTTTTTTTCAGTTTAAGAGGTGTTTTCTTTTTGTTTTTAACTTAAATGTTTCTCCTGTATCTATTGAACTTATCTATATAATTTTTTCCTTTGAACTTTTACTTGATGCTGTGTATTATATTATAGATTTAATGTTGAATCAGACTGAAAGTCATGAAATAAACCTATCTAGGTCATTGTGTATTATCTATGTTTATACATTTCATACATTGTTGCGTGTAGTGTTAGAATTCACTTGTTAGACTAATCTTGTTAATTGTGATTTTCCAATTTTCTTTATCCTTAACTGATATTTTTCTTTTGCGATCTATCAATTATTGAGTTATGTTAAAATTGTCTGATGTGATATTGAATTTTTCAATTCTTCATTGTAGTTCTATCAATTTTGCCTTATATATGGGTGAGGCTGTTTTTAGATATGTATAAGTTTAAAATTGTTACATCTTCTCAGACTTGCTTATGATGTTGATTTCATGGGTATATACTTATCCTTAAAATCATCAAGTTGTTTATATTAAGTATGTAAGGCCTTTTATGTGTCAATCATAACTCAATAAAGTAATTTAAAATAAGACAACTATTTGCAGTGTTACAAAAAAGAATTGTTACATCTTCTTGATGAGTTGAACATTTTATTGGTATTTAATGACTATGTTTATATTTATAATGCTTTTTTGCATTACAGCCTAGATGGTATAACAAAATATGTATAACATAAAATTTACCATTTTAGCCATTTTTAACAGTGCAATTCTGTGGGATTAAGTATATTCACATGGTTGTGCAACCATCACCACTGTCCATCTCTAGAACTATTTCTTTCTTTTTTTTTAGAACTGTTTTTTTAATTGGAGAGCTTAGTCCAATTACACTTGGACTGCTTGTGTGGATAGTGCAGAGTCAGATGGTGTGTTGGAAGATCAGTGAGAAGGTAGGGAAGTATCAGATCATATAGGGAACTGTAGGCTGCATAGGGGTTTACATTTTATTCTTGGTGCCAGGGGAAGCCATTGGAAAGTTTTATATAAGATAGTGAAATAATTTATATTTTTTAAAAGATCATTTGCTGTGAAAAGGCTAGGACAGGGTGAGAGTCAAAGTCTCCAGGCTCCTTGGAAAGCTACTGAAATAATACAGGTGAGAAAAGAAGATGGTCGAAACAGTGCACTTGAGAAGAGACAGGATTTGGTGGTGGATTGCCTGTTGTGGGAATGAGCAAGAGAGCCATCAAGAATTTGCTAGGGTTTTAGTTTGTAGCTAGGTAGAAGATGCTGTCATTTTCTGAGATTTGGAATGCAGGGTTAGGCAGGGTGAGTGAGACTTGCACATTGGAAATATTAAGTGTGAAATACCTATTAGGTACCTAGGTAAAGATGTGAAGTTGACAGTTGCCTGGATATACGAATGCATACTGCAAAAATAGCGGAAGCTCTGCATTTGGTAGTTGTTCCAATATAAATGGATGTATGTAGAGAAGAAAAGGCCTGGGGCCCTCCAGGAAGAGAGACGAGGCAGAAGAGGAGGCCCCAGCCAAGAAAACAAAAAAGGAATAGCCAGTAAAATAGAAAGAAAAAAACAAAAAAAACAGGGTAAAGTGGGAACATGTAAGCCAAGGGAGGCGGATGTTTTGGAAAGTATGGAGTAAACTATGTGACTGAGAGACTGAGTAACATGAGAACCAAGAAGTGCAGTGACCTTTGGATGTGGCAACTTTCCAGGCTGTAGTAACCTTGATTAAAGCAGCTTCATTGGCTTGGGATGAGGGCAGTGGGCTGGAAAAACAGCACGGGTACTGGAATTGGAGTTTAGCAGGTATAGGTAGTTATGTTTGATGGCGACTGCCTTTTTGTAGTGTTTTCCTCACTCAACAGATATTCCTCTCCACCTTGGAACTTCCTGACTCCTAATTTTAAGCCCATCCTTCATTGCCCAAACCCTCTTCTCTCCTTTAAAAGCTGAATTCTTACCTCTCCTGTAAGAGTGGAGCTTGATTGCCCCCCAGGAGCCATCCTGGACACTTGAATACAGGAGACTCATTGACTTCTCCAGTGGTGGGACAAGCGGGATGGCAGGGTCAGTAATTAAAGTGTCTGCCTGGCTATTGGTCAGTGACTCCAGATGCAAAGAGGTTAATAGTTTTTTTTAATTATGGTAATAAGCTTTATTTTTTAAGAGCAGTGTTAGGAGCAAGCAACATGGATCAGAAAGTACAGAGAGTTCCCATGTGACTCATCTCCACACATACCTCCCTCACTTTGTGTCTGACACTACAGTGGTTTATTTGTTCCAATCCATGAACCTATACTGACATATCATCAATCACCTGAAGTTCATAGTTTACATCAGGATTCACTCTTGGTGTTGGACATTCTATGGATTTTGACAATTCTATAGTGATACATATACATATTATATTATCATACAGAATAGTTTCATTGCCCTGAAAGTCCTCTCTGCTCTTCCTATTCACCCCTCCATCCTACTAACCCCTGACATCTATACTGTCTCTATTTTGCTGTTGTTGTTCAGTTGCCAAGTTGTGTCCAACTCTTTGCGACCCCATGGACTGCAGTAAGCCAGGCTCCCCTGTCCTTCACAATCTCCTGGAGTTTGTTCAGATTCATACCCATTGAGTTGATGATGCCATCCAGCCATCTCATCCTCTGTCGCCCCCCTTCTACTCTTGTCTTCAATCTTTCCCAGCATCAGGGTCTTTCCCAATGAGTCGGTTCTTTGCATCAGGTGGCCAAAGTTTTAGAGCTTCAGCTTCAGCAAGGGTCCTTCCAATGAATATTCAGGGTTGATTTCCTTTAAGATGGACCGGTTTGATCTCCTTGCCATCCAAGGGACTCCCAAGAGTCTTCTTCAGCACCACAATTAGAAACTGTCAGTTCTTCGGTGTTCAGCCTTCTTTGATGGCTCAGTGGGTAAAGAATCCACCTGCAATGCAGGAGACACAGGAGACATGAGTTTGATTCCTGGATCAGGAAGATCCCCTGGAGAAGGAAATGACAACCCACTCCAGTATTCTTGCCTGGGAAATCCCATGGTCAGAGAAGCCTGGTAAGCTACAGTCCATGGGGTCACAAAGAGTTGGACATGACTGAGCGCATAAGCTCAACAACAGTCTGGCCACTTAACCACGTGCTGTGCTCTTTCAGATTGCTTACAGCTTAATAATTACAGCCTTCTTTATGGTCCAACTCTCACATCCATACATGACTACTGGAAAAATCATAGCTTTGATTATATGGACCTTTGTTGGCAAAGTGATATCCCTGCTTTTTAAAACGCTGTCTAGGTTTGCCATAGCTTTCCTTTCAAGAGAAAGTGTCTTTTAATTTCATTGCTGCAGTCACTATCCACGGTGATTTTGGAGCCCAAGAACATTAAAATCTGTCACTGTTTCCACTTCTTCCCCTTCTGTTTGCATGAAGTGATGGGACCAGATGCCATGATACTAGTTTTCTGTACGTTGAGTTTCAAGCCAGCTTTTTCACTCTCTCCTTTCACCTTCATCAAAAGGCTCTTTAATTCCTCTTCACTTTCTGCCATGAGAGTGGTATCATCTGCATATCTAAAGTTATTGATATTTCTCCTAGCAATCTCGACTCCAGCTTGTGGTTCATCCAGCCCAGCATTTTGCACGATGTACTCTGCATAGAAGTTAAATAAGCAGGATGACAATATACAGCCCTGTCATACTCCTTTCCCAATTTTGAACCAGTCTGTTGTTCCATGTCTGGTTCTAACTGTTGTTTCTTGACCTGCATACAGGTTTCTCAGGAGATGGGTAAGGTATTCCCATCTGTTTAAGAATTTTCCACAGTTTATTGTGATCCACACAGTCAAAGGCTTTAGCATAGTCAATGAAGCAGAAGTAGATGCTGTCTGTATAGTTTTACCTTTTTCAGAATGTCATGTAGTTGGAATCACACAGTGTGTTGCTTTTCATTGTGAAAGGACACTCTAAGGATTGTGTCCTTAAAGTTGTAGCTAAAAAGTCATCACCATACCCAAGTTCTTCTAGATTTTCTCCCATGTTCTCTTTTAGAAGTTTTACATTTTATGTTTAAGTCTGTAATTCATTTTGAGTTAAATTTTTGTGAAGGGTGTAAGGTCTGTGTGTAGGTTTATTTTTTCTTGATATGGATATCTTAGCTTAGGGCTTCCCAGGTGGCTCAGTGGTAAAGAATCTGGCTGCCAATACAGAAGACGCAGGAGACAGGTTTAATCCCTGGGTAGGGAAGATCTCCTGGAGTAGGAAATGGCAACCCACTCGAGTATTCTTGCCTGGTGGGTTACAGTCCATGGGATTGCAAAGAGTCAACACGACTGAGTGACTTAACACACACACATCTTAGCTTAACATTTGAAGGTTGTTTTTCTTGCTTATAAAGCACATGCTCATTGCAGAAATTTCCTAAAAGGCAAGTATAAAGAAGACAAAAGCATGACTATTAACACTTTGATGAATTACTGATTAGTCCTTTTCAGCATTCATGTCAACATTTTTCGCTATACTTCTTTATTTTAGGCAGTATAATGTGACCACTTTCCTTGGGTAATGAAAACCTCTTTGTAAGAATCATTTTAATAGACGCTTTTTTTTTTAGGTAGATCAGGTATTATCATTTACTTAATTTTCCTATGTTGGCATTTTTCTTTCTAACTTTTATCATAATGCTGTGATGAACATCTTTGTGTGGAAAACTTTTCTTCCCCTCTGTGTTTCAAGTTATGTCCTTAGGATAGAGACCTATCAGTAGATTTATGGAATCAGAAGGAAAAAAAAATATATTAGAACTCAATGCATAGTTTCAGACTGCTTTCTAGGAGTAGTGTATCATTTTACCATTTCATTAGTGTCAATCTCTCTCAGTTCTTATCACTATCAAACCCCGTCTTTTAAAAACTTCCTTAATTTGCTAGGTGAAAAGTCACATCCCATTGCTGTAACTGACATTTCATCAGTTACTAATGAAATTGAACAAATGTTACTCAAATATTTATTTGTTAACCATTTGTGGTATTTTTTATTTATAATTTATATGTTTATTAACTTGCTAATTTAAGTCATTGTTTTATCCAAATTGCTTGATATTTGTTGTTTGTTTTTAGGAAAACTGGAACAGCTTACATAACAAAAGTATTTCAACATAACACTCCTGAAGGATTTTTGTCCTCAGTTATTGCAGAACTGATAGACCCTTTTGGAACAGAGGAAGTAAATGAGAGCTCTTGTTTGTCTAGTTCCCTTTCCATTAGTGAAGCTGGAAATTACTCCTATAAACTTAGTCTTAAATTACAAAGTAAGTGTAATAATATTTCTGATGGCTGGGAAAAATGAAGAATTATCTTTTGGGATGAGTGTTTATGCTCTTTTATAGAACAATAGATTTCAAAATTTAAACCAATTGATAATCTACAGAAGTCTACATATACTTAAATTCCTAGAGGAATTCTTTATTTTTAATATAATAATACCTGATTTATCCACTGGGATGAATAACAGGCATCTTACATTTAATATGTTCTCTTACTTGATTATCGCAATAGTCTCTCTCTCTTTTTTTTTTTTTTGTTTGTTCAGGTTTATTAAGGTACAACTTACATACAGTAAAATTCACTCTTTTCAGCGCATGTCTATGGATTTTGATATATCCATTCACTCAGTGATGGAGCCATCATTGTGATCAGTCCCATAAAACTCTCTCCTAATTCTTTTCTCTCCCAGCGCTGGCCCCTGGCAACCAAACCTGTTTTCTGTTCCCCAAATTCTCTCCTTTCCAGAATGTTACATAAATGGAATCATACAATAGACAGAATTTTGACTCTACCTTAAGTATTTGTGTACAGGTTTTTGTACATACATATGTTTTCACTTCTCTGGAATAAATGCCCAGGAGTGCAACTGCTGGGCTGAAGAGTAATTGCATATTTATTGAGTTGGCCAAAAAGTCCACTTGGGTTTTTCATAACATCTTACAGGAGAACCTGAACAAACTTTTTGGCCATCTCAATAGTTTTTAAGGAAGCTGATTTCTCTGCTTTCCTTCTTGCCCTTTCTCTGTCACATGCCCAGTCTGTTCTCAACAGAGCAGCTTAAGCGATCTTTCTAAAACATAAGTTCAATCATGCCCCTTGTTGATTTTCTGTCTGTATGACCTATCCATTGATGAAAGTAAGGTGTTAAAATCCTCTACTATTTTTGTATTGCTATCTATTTCTCCTCAGATCTATGAATATTTGCTGTATTATTTAGGTGCTCATTTGTTAAGTGCATAAATATTTACAAATGTTATATCTTTTTGTTTGACTTTTATTATATAATAACCTTCTTTAGCCTTTGTCTTAAGGTCTACTTTCTCTGAAATAAATATTGGTATCCCAGACTTCTTTTGATTTCCACTTGCATAGAATATCTTTTTTCATCCCTTCACTTTCAGTCTGCATGTCTCCTTACATCTGAGGTGAGTCCCTTGTAGGCACCAGATAGCATATCTTGTTTTTGTTTCTAAGTCACCTCAACCACTTTATATCTTTTGATTGAAGGATTTAGGTCATTTACATTTAAGTAGTTATGGATATGTAAGCGTTGGTTGCCACTTTGTTAATGTTTTTTTTTTTGGTGTTTTATACCAAAAAAATACCAAAATACTGCATCATGTTGTACACCTGAAACTAATATTATGTATCAATTATATCTCAAAAAGTCAAAGGTGGAGGTGAAAGTGAGTGACCAGCATCACACATGTGTGCTCAGTCACTCAGTCATGTCCAGCTCTTTGCGACCCCATGGCCTGTAGCCCGCCAAGCTCCTTGCCTATGGGATTTCCCAGGCAAGAAAACTGGAGCGGTTTGCCGTTCCCTCCTGAAGGGATCTTCCCAACCCAGAGAGCAAGCCCACATCTCCAGCATCTGCTGCATTGGCAGGTGAATTCTTTACTACTAAGCCACCTGGGAAGCCCAGTGGTCAGCATATATGATAGTTCATGCTGCTAGATTAGATGAGATCACTGGGAAAGCAGGTGTAGATAAAGAAAGGAAAAAGTTTGAGATCCAGTCTCCAGTATTCCAACATGTAGTGGTCAGAGAGATGGGAAAGACTGGATGATCTACTAGGAGAAGAGAGTATGTCTCAGAAACCAAGTGAAGAAGTTACTTCAAGAAGAAAGGAGTGATGCTGTGTTGCATGCTGCCAAGAGGTGGGTTTAGAAAAGAGGTCGGGAGAGAAAACTGCCCGATGGATCTGTGTCAAAGTCACTGGTAAAGTTGACAAAAGCTGTTGTTGGGTGGAGTCATGTAGACAAAAATGACGTGTAGTCACTGGGTTAGGGTCAAAAAATTACAAGAGGCAGGGAATTGAAGATAGTGAATAAGGCGATCCTTTTGGGGAATCTCACAGTGAAGGGGAAGAGAGAAATGAGATGGTAGTTGAAGAGAATGTAGAAAAGGGTTTTTTGTTGGTTTGTTGAAATGGGAAAAATTAGAACATGTGTTTATAACAAAGGAATTATGAGGTTCTCTTCAGACTACTTCTATTTTTTTTTTTTCAGAACAAGGTGAGTATCATTGTTGATGTGTTTCAAAAACATTTTCAAAACATTTCAAAACATTTCAAAAACATTCCCTCTCCTTCAAACAGCCATCTGTTGACTTCTCTCATATCCACTATGATGGATTTCCTCCAATCTCTAGGTTATGAAGGCTCTTACTAGTTCTATAGAAAAGAAATCAGCTTTCTTATAATTACTTAACCCTATGTGGGTTGTTTTTTGCTGATAATTTTATAGAACTAGTTTCACAGTAGAAGTTGTGTTTGGCATATTTGTGATACACTTTCTACAAAGTAACTTGAATTATGACCTGAATTCTGACAAATATGTTCTCTAGTTAAAACCATAGTTTAAAAACTCAAATAATGTATTCCTCAGTTATGTCTACCAGTATTTCTTGGAGAACATTGGCTGTTCTATTTTATACCAAATCACTCTTGTTTTAGCTCCAGGTGTTATCTCCTCATTTCAAGATTCGGATATAGAAAAAACTGTGGTGATTCCCGGTTATAGCAGCTTCCTGATCACAACGATTTTAGATAATGAGAATGCTTTAGCTGTTGCTACCATGCCTGAAATAGTCCCCCATAACATGACCTTTCAAAAAGACTCCTGGTTCTTATACAACTTTGGAAAAAGGAATGGACAAACATGGAACATATATGCAAAACCATGTAATTACTGGTTTCAACAACATGATGATTCACTATCCCTCAGTGTCCTGAAATACATTGATCTGGGGAAATCTCACACTTTAAAAATGAAGGTCATACCTAATACAAAAGGTAAGTTTATTTTTATTGGGAAATATCAAGAGGGGATATTATTGCTTTTCTTGCATGTAAAATACACTCTTTGATATTTCCTTTATCTTTGGTTTCATTAGTAGGTGACATTCTATCACTAACAATATAAGCTTCCAATTAGTGAGCACTTATGCAAAACTCTGTATTAAATGTTTTTATATGTTTATAATTAATGGTTTATGACTATCCTAATGGCCTAGATTATAATCCTTATTTTATAAATGAGAAAAATGAGGTTATATTACCAGCCCAAATTTACAGAGGATTTTAGTTTAAATTTTAGCTGCCCTCTGAAAAGAAAACCTTTTAATTACCTTGTTATTATAATCATTTCAAGTATTTATTTTAAGCCAAAAAAAAAAGACTTTTAAATAGAATTCTATACTTTGCTCCATTTTCTAAGTATTTATTTATTTAAAAATATAAAACTTACTAAAGATGATGGTAAATGGCATACTGGAAAAAAGTAAAATGAAAAACTTTAGTAAATAACTTAGCTGGAAACTGAGGAAAGAAAGATGAAAGAGAGGAGAGTGAAAAAGGAAAATCTTGTCACTAGAAATGAAGACATTAGCAAAGTATTGCTCAAAATTCTCCAGGCTAGGCTTCAACAGTATGTGAACCGAGAACTTCCAGATATTCAAACTGGATTTGGAAAAGTTTGAGGAATCAGATATCCACTGGATCATAGAAAAAGCAAAAGAATTCCAGAAAAAAATCTGCTTCATTGACTACACTAAAGCCTTTGACATGTGGATCACAACAAATTGTAGAAACTTCTTAGAGAGATGGGAATACCAGACCACCTTCCTTGCATCCTGAGAAACCTGTATGAGGGTAAAAAAGCAACAGTTAGAACTGAACTTGGAACAATGGACTGGTTCCATGTTGGAAAAGGAGTACGTCAAGGCTGTATATTGCCACCCTGCTTATTTAACTTATATGCAGAGTGTATCATGCAAAATGCCAGGATGGATGAAGCACAGCTGAAATCAAGATTGCCAGGAGAAATATCAATAACCTCAGACATGCAGATGACACTACCCTTATGGCGGAAAGCGAAGAGGAACTAAAGAGCTTCTTGATGAAAGTGAAAGAGGACAGTGAAAAAGCTGACTTAAAACTCAACTTTCAAAAAATGAAGATTGTGGCATCCAGTCCCATCATTTCATGGCAAATAGATGGGAAAACAATGGAAACAGTGACAGACTTTATTTTCTTGGGCTCCAAAATCACTTCAGATGGCAACTGCAGCCATGAAATTAAAAGATGCTTTTTCCTTGGAAGAAAAGCTATGATGAACCTAGATAGCTTATTAAGGAGCAGAGACATTACTTTGCCAACAAAGGTCCATCTGGTCAAAGATAAGGTTTTTCCGGTAGTCATGTATGGATGTGAGCATTGGACCATAAAGAAGGCTGAATGCCAAAGAATTGCTGCTTTTGAACTGTGATGTTGGAGAAGACCTTGAGAGTCCCTTGGACTTCAAGGAGATCAAACCAGTCAATCCTAAAGGAAATCAATCGTGAATATTCTTTCAGAAGGGATGACAGAGGACAATATGGTTGGATGGCATTACTGACTCACTGGACATGAGTTTGAGCAAACTCCAAGAGTTGGTGAAAGACAGGGAAGCCTGGTGTGCTGCAGTCCATGGGGTCGCGAAGAGTCAGACACCACTGAGCAACTGAGCACAAGAAATGAAGAGGGAACTCAAAGTCGAAAGAGTTAGCTAATGTGTAGCTCCTACAAGGTTATGAGGCTCAGATGTCGATCACTTAGACAGTGGGATGTGTTTTAATGCCCAGCCATTGGTCTGAAGATGTAGACCTTTAGACATTTCTACCTTGTGGTATGAAGTTGGAACTGAGAGCATTAAGTAAGGATGGAACCATCAGATCATGGAGAGGTGAAGAGGCAATAAGAAAAATGCTACCCAACAACCCAAAGAAGGAGATAGCGGGACTGTGATCGCCATGGAACTCACAAAGAATTTCTTATAAAAAACCCAAACCTCTAGACTGTGTAACATCCAGAGACTACACACCAGATACAAGAATCCCAAACAGAGAAATCATTACAATTCCTGGGCCCCAGCTTAAGGAAGCACAAAACCACCTGTATGAATACTTTTATAAACATGGACTTGCACACACAAAAAAGTCAATCTTTCTGACTTACTTCACTCTGAATGTGTTTGGAATCTAGAAAGATGGTACTGATGAACCTATTTGCAGGGCAGCAATGAAGATACAGATATAGAGAGACTTGTGAACACAGTGGGGAAAGGAGAGGGTGGGACGAGTTGAAAGAATAGCATGGAAACATATACATTACCATACGTAAAATAGATAGCAAGTGGGAATTTGTTGTGTGACACAGGGAGCTCAACCCAGTGTTCTGTGAACCTAGAAGGGTGGGATGGGGTGGGAGATGGGAGCTGGGTCGTAAGAGAGGGGATATATGTATACCTGTGGATAATTCATGCTGATGAATGGCAGAGGCCAACATGATATTATTGTAAAGCAATTATCCTCCAATTAAAAAAATATCTATCTACATTGACCATGTATTGAGAAAAATAATTTTAAGCCATGTAAGGAAATGATCCAACACAAGGAAAAGTCAACAAGCATAGGAAACAAAATTTCAATCTTGAGTTGATGGAATAATCAGAAAGACATTATAAAAATGACTGTATAATATATATAAAACTCTTAGATAAAAGGGCTTTCCTGATAGCTCAGTTGGTAAAGAATCTGCCTGCAATGCAGGAAACCCCAGTTTGATTCCTGGGTCTGGAAGATCCGCTGAAGAAGGTATAGGTTACCCACGCCAGTATTCTGGCCTGGAGAATTCCACCGGCTGTATAGTCCATGGGGTTGCAAAGAGTTGGACACGACTGAGCAAATTTCACTTTCACTTTCTTAGATAAAAGAAGGCATATGAACCATAATGAAAAGGACAAAACACTATTTTTTTAGAAAGGCTTATTTGAAAAACATAAGAAAGTGCAATTTATAAAAATTATAGGCTTTGAGAAAATGACTAACAGGTACATGATAAGATGTTCAATATCACCAATCATCAGTTCAGTTCAGTTGCTCAGTCATGTCCAACTCTTTGTGACCCCATGGACTGCAGCACACCAGGGTTCCCTGTCCATCACCAACTCCCAGAGCTTGCTCAAACTCATGTCCATTGAGCTGGTGATGCCATCCAACCATCTCATCCTCTCTCGTCTCCTTCTCCTCCCATCTTCAATTTTTCCCAGCATCAGGGTCTTTTCCAGTGAGTCAGTTCTTCCAGTCAGGTGGCCAAAGTATTGGAGCTTCAGCTTCAGCATCAGTCCCTCTAGTGAATATTCAGGGTTGATTCCCTTTAGGATTGACTGGTTGTATCTCCTTGCAGTCCAAGGGACTCTCAAGAGTCTTCAACACCATAGTTCAAAAGCATCAATTCTTTGGCACTCAGCCTTCTTTATGGTCCAATTCTCACATCCATATGTGACTACTGGAAAAATCATAGCTTTGACTAGATGGACCTTTGTCAGCAAAGTAATCACCACTTCAGTACAGTTCAGTCACTCAGTTGTGTCTGACTCTTTGTGACCCCATGAATCACAGCACGCCAGGCCTCCCTGTCCATCACCAACTCCCAGAGTTTACTCAAACTCATGTCCATCGACTCGGTGATGCCATCCAGCCATCTCATCCTCTGTCGTCCCCTTCTCCTCCTGCCCCCAATCCCTCCCAGCATCAGGGTCTTTTCCAATGAGTCAACTTTTCGCATGAGGTGGCCAAAGTATTAGAATTTCAGCTTCAGCATCAGTCCGTCCAATGAACATCCAGGACTGATCTCCTTTAGGATGGACTGGTTGGATCTCCTTGCAGTCCAAGGGACTCTCAAGAGTCTTCTCCAACACCACAGTTCAAAAGCATCAATTTTTCAGCACTCAGCTTTCTTCACAGTCCAACTCTCACATCCATACATGACCACTGGAAAAACCATAGCCTTGACCAGACAGACCTTTGTTGGCAAAGTAATGTCTCTGCTTTTTAATATGCTGTCTAGGTTGGTCATAACTTTCCTTCCAAGGAGTAAGCGTCTTTTAATTTCATGGCTGCAGTCACCATCTGTAGTGATTTTGTAGCCCAAAATAATAAAGTCTGACACTGTTTCCACTATCTCCCCATCTATTTCCCATGAGGTGATGGGACCAGATGCCATGATCTTAGTTTTCTGAATGTTAAGCTTTAAGCCAACTTTTTCACTCTCCTCTTTCACTTTCGTCAAGAGGCTTTTCAGTTCCTCTTCACTCTCTGCCAAAAGGGTGGTGTCATCTGCATATCTGAGGTTATTGATATTTCTCCCAGCAATCTTGATTCCAGCTTGTGCTTCTTCCTGCCCAGCATTTCTCATGATGTACTCTGCATATAAGTTAAATAAGCAGGGTGACAATATACAGCCTTGATGTACTCCTTTTCCTATTTGGAACCAGTCTGTTGGTCCATGTCCAGTTCTAACTGTTGCTTCCTGACCTGCATACAGGTTTCTCAAGAGGCAGGTCAGGTGGTCTGGTATTCCCATCTCTTTCAGAATTTTCCACAGTTTATTGTGATCCACACAGTCGAAGGCTTTGGCGTAGTCAATAAAACAGAAATAGATGTTTTTCTGGAACTCTCTTGCTTTTTCGATGATCCAGCGGATATTGGCAATTTGATCTCTGGTTCCTCTGCCTTTTCTAAAACCAGCTTCTCGGTTCACGTATTGCTGAAGCCTGGCTTGGAGAATGTTGAGCATTACTTTACTAGCGTGTGAGATGAGTGCAATTGTGCAGTAGTTTGAGCATTCTTTGGGATTGCCTTTCTTAGGGATTGGAATGAAAACTGACCTTCGCCAGTCCTGTGGCCTCTGCTGAGTTTTCCAAATTTGCTGGCATATTGAGTGCAGCACTTTCACAGCATCATCTTTCAGGATTTGAAATAGCTCAACTGGAATTCCATCACATCCACTAGCTTTGTTTGTAGAGATGCTTTCTAAGGCCCACTTGACTTCATATTCCAGGATGTCTGGCTCTAGGTGAGTGATCACACCATTGTGATTATCTGGCTTGTGAAGAACTTTTTTATACAGTTCTTCTGTGTATTCTTGCCACCTCTTCTTAATATCTTCTGCTTCTGTTAGGTCCATACCATTTCTGTCCTTTATCGAACCCATCTTTGCCTGAAATGTTCCCTTGATATCTCTAATTTTCTTGAAGAGATCTCTAGTCTTTCCCATCCTGTTGTTTTCCTCTATTTCTTTGCATTGATCGCTGAGGAAGTCTTTCTTATCTCTCTTGGCTATTCTTTGGAACTTTGCATTCAAATGGGAATATCTTTCCTTTTCTCCTTTGCTTTTCGCTTCTCTTCTTTTCACAGCGATTTGTAAGGCCTCCTCAGACAATCATCAGAAAAATGCAAATCAAAACTACAGTGAAATATCACCTCTAATACACCTGTAGAATGGATGTTAACAAAAAGACAAGACACAGTAAATGCTGATGAGGACATTAGAGTAAAGTGAACATTTGTACACTGTTAGTAGGAATATAAATTGGTTCAGTCACATTAAAAACAGTGTGTAAGTTTCTCAAAAAAAAAAAAAAAAAGCTAAAAAGAGAACTACTGTATGATCTAGTAAGGAGTTCCCCGGTGGCTCAGACAGTAAAGAATCTTCCTGCAAAATAGAAGACCCAGCTTCAATCCCCAGGTTGTGAAGATTCCCTGGAGAAGGGCATGGCAACCCACTCCAGTATTCTTGCCTGGAGGATTCCATGGACAGAGGAGCCTGGTGGGCTACAGTCCATGGTGTTGCAAAGAGTCAGACACAACTGAGCAACTAACACTTTCATGATCTAGTAATCCCACTTCTGGGTATATATCTGAAGGAAACAAAATCAGAATTTGAGGAGGGAGGTATATGTACTCCCATTTTCATTGCAGCACTATTCACAGTAGCCTAGGTATGGAAACAACTTGTGTCCATCAACAGATGACTAGATAAAGAGAATGTGGTATATATACACAGTGAAATATTATACAGCCATAAAAAAGAAGGATGAACAACAAAAATTAATCTGGAAGATCTTGAATGCATGAATTCTCAGTCATTTCAGTCATATGTAACCATGTGGACCTAAGCCTGCCAGGCTCCTCCATCCATGGGATTTTCCTGGCAAGAATACTGGAGTAGGTTGCCATGCCCTTCTCCAGGGGATCTTTTCCACCCAGGAACTGAACCCATGTCTCCTACATTTTCTGCATTGCAGGCAGATTCTTTCCCTGCTGAGCCATCATACAATGCTGAGTGAAATAAGCCAGACAGAGAAAGACAAGTAGTGTGTTGTCTCACTTATATGTGGAATCTTAAAAAAGAAAAAAGTCTACCTCATAGAAATAGAGAGTAGAATGCTGGTTACCAGGGACAGGAGAAAAAGGGCAGATATTGGTCAAAGAGTACAAACTTCCAATTATAAAATAAATAAGTCTTAGGAATATAATACATAGCATGATAACTATAGTTAATTGTACTGTATTGTATACTTGAAATTTGCCAACAGAGAAGATCTCAAATGTTGCCACCACACACATATAACACATACATACAAACTATGTCAGGTGGTGACTGTATTAACTAATTTAATTGTGGTAATCATTTCACAATGTATATTGTTATTGTTGTTCAGTCACTCAGTCGTGTCTGACTCTTTGTGACCCCATGTACTGCAACACGCCAGGCTTCCCTGCCCTTCACTATCTCCCGGAGTTTGCTCAAACTCATGTCTATTGAATCAGTGATGCCATCCAACTATCTCATCCTCTCTCACACCCTTGTCCTCCTGCCTTCAGTCTTTCACACATCAGGGTCTTTTCCAATGAGTCAGTTCTTCACATCAGGTGGCCAAAGTATTGGAGCTTCAGTTTCAGCATCAGTCCTTCCAATGAATATTCAGGGTTGATTTCCTTTAGGATTCTGGTTTGATCTCCTTGCAGTATGAGGGACTCTCAAGAGTCTTCTCCAGCACCACAGTTCAAAAGCATCAATTCTTCGGTGCTCAACCTCCTATATGGTCCATTTCTCACATCTATACATGACAACTGGAAAAATCATAGCTTTGACTATGCAAACCTTTAAGTACATCAAATCACCACATTATACACTTTAAAAATATACAATTTTATTTGTCAACATACCTCAATAAAGTATGAAGGGGACTGGATATGGAATCTCAGCACCCTTCTCAGACCTGCTAAGTCAGAATTGGCATTCTAACATCTCCAGTTGTAGTTTAGGAAGCACTGGCCAGGTCACTTTAGTTTAAGGGAAACTGCTACAGCTGTAAGGGCTTCCCTGATAGCTCAGCCAGTAAAGAATCTACCTGCAATGCGGGAGACCTGGGTTCGATCCCTGGGTTGGGAAGATCCCCTGGAGGAGGGTATGGCAACCCACTCCAGTATTCTTGCCTGGAAAACCCCCATGGACAGAGGAGCCTGGTGGGCTGCAGAACATGGTGTCACAAAGAGTCAGACATGATTGAGCGAACTACAGCTGAGACTTAAGGCAACTCATTTACTACTTCTCAACTCTGATTTACTAGTTAGTAAAGATGGCCGTTAGATTACATAGTTTTTCAAATGTCTCTTTCCATTAAGTTTCTCAGTATGGAGAGGGTGCAAACAGGGGCCCTATAGGCAGAAAAGTGGCCTGATGACATACTGTGTTAACTGCCTAGAATTTTTCTATTGGCAGCACCTGACTGACAGCCCTTTAAACTGAGCTTGTATTCTCAGTTTCCCTACTGAGTTATCCAACTCAGTTTGACTGAGACTATCCAAGTGACCTTTATATGCATTTGAGAACCTGGCTGAAGAATTAGGGGTGGAGGGGAGCAATATTTCTATGAAAAAAGAGGATAAAATAGTTGTGACATTAAATTTTTTCAAAGAAGTGCTCGTTTCAGCAGCACATATACTAAAAATTGAAATGATAAAAGAAGATTAGCATGGCCCCTGAGCAAGGATGACACGCAAATTCGTGAAGCATTCCATAGTTTTAGCCAGGACATGGAAGCAACCTAGATGCCCATCAGCAGATGGATGGATAAGAAAGCTGTGGTACATATACACAATGGAATATTACTCAGCCATTAAAAAGAATACATTTGAATCAGTTCTAATGAGGTGGATGAAACTGGAGCCTATTATACAGAGTGAAGTAGGTCAGAAAGAAAAACACCAATACAGTATACTAACACGTATATATGAAATTTAGAAAGATGGTAATGATAACCCTATATGCGAGACAGCAAAGGAGACACAGATGTATAGAACAGTCTTTTGGACTCTGTGGGAGAAGGCGAGGGTGGTGTGATCTGAGAGAATAGCATTGAAACATGTATATTATCATATGTGAAACAGATCGCCAGTCCAGGTTCGATGCATGAGACAGGGTGCTCAGGGCTGGTGCACTGGGAAGACCCTGAGGGGTGGGATGCGGAGGGTGGGGGCGGCGGGGGGGGGGATCAGGATGGGGAACACATGTAAGCCCATGGCTGATTCATGTCAATGTACTGCAAAAACCACTACAATATTGTAAAGTAATTAGCCTCCAATTAAAATAAATTTAGAAAAATTAAAAAATTAATATTTTTGAAGAAATATTAAAGTTCCCTAGCTATATTTGTGGCCATTATGCAGCCTTCATAATAGATTCTGTAGATGTTCTAGAATTCTGATTGACCAATCATTATGAAACTGCTTAAAGTTTTCATGATTTCATGTTAACTCTGGGTTTTGTTTCCATAGTTCTTAGACTGCTTGAAATACCACTACTGCAAGTAATTGTTGGAAACCCAAATTTGTTGGAAGTTAAAGTTGAAGGCTATTTTGATGAAAGTGATAGTTATATAATGGAAGTTTCTACAGCTAGCAAAACTTTACACCAAGTAAATTTTCCTTTAATTATTTTAAAAAATCTATTGATTTTAACAAATTTAGGCTATAAACCATGAAAAAGAAGGAAAAATTATGCATAATCCTACCTATCAAGGATGATAAAACACATTTAACATCTTGGGCATTACAAAAAGGCTGTATGTGATAGACATTAAAAAATTGAGCTCTGGAAAAGACTGGGTTTTCACTGCTGCTACTGTTTGCATGGGCTTCCCAGATGGCACTAGTGGTAAAGGACCCACCTGCCAATGCAGAAGACGCAAGAGAGATGGGTTTGATCCCTGGGTCGGAAGATCCCCTGGAGAAGGGCACAGCAACCACCTCCAGTATTCTTGCCTGGAGAATCCCGTGGACAGAGGAGCCTGGCGGGTTACAGTCCATAGCGTCCCAAAGAGTTGGACACGACTGAATCAGCTTAGCCCACATGCAGGCAGTGTTTTTGTGAGCTTGAGAAACATACTTGGACCAAATTTCCTCATCTATAAAATGGAAGTGATAATAATAATACTTCATAGGATTGTTTTGATAATTAAATGTGATAATTCATATAGGCCATTTCAATAACTGTCTGGCACATAGAAAATGGTCAAGAAGGAAATAAACAGTAAGTATTCATTGGAAGGAGGGGTGCTAAAGCTCCAATACTTTGGCCACCTGATGAGAAGAACCGACTCATTGGAAAAGACCCTGATGCTGGGAAGGATTGAAGGCAAGAGGAGAAGGGGGAGACAGAGGATGAGATGGTTGGATGGCATCACTGACTCAATGGACATGAGTTTGAGCAAACTCTAGGAGGTAGTGAAGGACAGGGAAGACTGGTGTGCTGCAGTTCATGGGATCACAGAGTCAGACACAACTTAGTGACTGAACAACAATGAATTTTCCATTTTTTCCTTTTTTCCCTGAAACTAGGAGAGTATTATATATACACTTTTAAAAATTTGCTCCTTCTGAGAGGTTGATAATGGTCCAAGGCCCTCGAGGAGGAGAAAGGGACAAATTTTTTTTCTACATTCCTTCATCTTAGTCACAAGAAGTTTTTTCCTTAAGTTCTGAATTGTTATTGCAACAATCTATTTCTTCTAAAACTAACTTTCTTTAATCCCAGAGCTAATGATTATACAACAAAGCAACTCATTTGCTCAAGGGTACGTTTTTCCTTAAACTCTATACTAATGATTATATAACAACAATATATCCTTCTCAAGGCCATGTTTCTCCTTAAGAACCTTCTGACTAACCTGTTATCTTAAAATGTATGTTGTGGGAGTGGGCCTGGTAAAACCTTTCTATTGTTAGTAACCAATTGAAAAAGTATATAAAGTGAAGTCGCTCAGTTGTGTCCGACTCTTTGTGACCCCGTGGACCCACCACACTCCTCTGTCCATGGGATTTTCCAGGCAAGAGTACTGGAGTGGGTTGCCATTTCCTTCTCCAGAGGATCTTCCCAACCCAGGGATCAAATCCAGGTCTCCTGCATGGTAGGCAATCGCTTTACCATCTGAGCCACCGGGGAAGTCATCAGGGGAAAAGTTATAAGGCCTTGATAAGATTATCAAGACTATCAAGGGGGTACTCTTCCCCTTCTGATGTTTATTTTAGAAGCTTTCTCTGTCTCTTTTTCACTGTAATAAAACTTCTGCCACATGAAGCTCTGACTGCCTGGAGCCTCTTCTCTGGTCCGGAAGCTAAATTCTCTTCTTCGGAAATCACAAATCTGACACCATTCACTGTAAGCTATTAATTCCACTTAATTTTATGGTATAATCCTTTTGTGTCAATAAATATTTTTGCACACTCTAAAATTTGTCTATCATGAAAATTTTCAAATTTAGACAAAAGATGAATTTCCATATATGTATTTCTCAAATTAAACAGTCAGGGTTTTGACCCTTTTTTTTTTAATCATTCTAATTTTTTTTTTTTGGTTTATATTCTGACCAATTATATTCAGAACTCATTTATATTCTGTTATAATATAATATATTATATTCTGTTAAATGAATAGAAACTTCATGTCATTTCACTCCTATATGCTTCCATGTTGTTGTTCAGTTGCTAAGTCATGTCCAACTCTTTGCAAGCCCATGGACTATAGCATGCCAGACTCCTCTGTCCTGCACTGCCTCCAGGAGTTCTCAAATTCATACATATATGCCATCATACACATCTTCAAAAATATGTGTATAATCTCTCACATAACAAGAATGCCATTAGCACCCTTGAAATGTTTTAAGCTAAATTTGTTTTGATATTCTTTTTTTTTTTTAGGATGTCCATAGGGAATTTATTGTTAATGAGTCAAATAACAAAAAAGTGTTGTTACAGAAAACCATTTTACTTTTTTTTTTTTCCATTTATTTTTATTAGTTGGAAGCTAATTACTTTACATCATTGCAGTGGTTTTTGTCATACACTGAAATGAATTAGCCATGGATTTACATGTATTCCCCATCCCGGTCCCCCCTCCCACCTCCCTCTCCACCCGATCCCTCTGGGTCTTCCCAGTGCACCAGGCCCGAGCACTTGTCTCATGCATCCAACCTGGGCTGGTGATCTGTTTCACCCTAGATAATATACATGTTTCGATGCTGTTCTCTTGAAACATCCCACCCTCACCTTCTCCCACAGAGTCCACAAGTCTGTTCTATACATCGGAGTCTCTTTTTCTGTTTTGCATATAGGGTTATCGTTACCATCTTTCTAAATTCCATATATATGTGTTAGTATACTGTAATGGTCTTTATCTTTCTGGCTTACTTCGCTCTGTATAATGGGCTCCAGTTTCATCCATCTCATTAGAACTGATTCAAATAAATTCTTTTTAATGGCTGAATAATATTCCATGGTGTATATGTACCACAGCTTCCTCATCCATTTGTCTGCTGATGGGCATCTAGGTTGCTTCCATGTCCTGGCTATTATAAACAGTGCTGCGATGAACATTGGGGTGCACGTGTCTCTTTCAGATCTGGTTTCCTCAGTGTGTATGCACAGAAGTGGGATTGCTGGGTCATATGGCAGTTCTATTTCCAGCTTTTTAAGAAATCTCCACACTGTTTTCCATAGTGGCTGTACTAATTTGCATTCCCACCAACAGTGTAAGAGGGTTCCTGTTTTGATATTCTATAAGGCCCAATCCATAAGCAAATTCTCCCAATTTTCTCCAAAAAATTGTTCATGGTTGGTTTGTTTGAATTGGGATCCAAACAAGAATCACATAGTCTGTGGTTATTTATTCATCTATTTTCATCAAAAGTAGGTATTGCTCCATTATCTTCCCCTGCCATTAAACTGCTGCTGTTGAGTCAGTTATGTTACAGAGTCTCCAATATTCTGGGTGTTTCTGTTTGCTTACTTATTTCTTATTGAACTTGGGCGTCCCCTTCCTCACATCCCAAATTTACTTTAATAGTAGAACCCTGCTTAGATTCTGATTTGATTGTTTTGGCAGAAATTCATTAAAAATTGTTATTTTTAATGTTTTACAGAATATGGGGAGAGGGACAAAACTACCAGAGTTACTGTATCTCTACAATTATTAGTGTCTGTATATTTTTTTAATTTCCAGAAATACTTGATAATTTCAAACAGAATTTATCAAATTTTGTTGAATGTTTAATGTTGTGCAAGGTGAAAATACGTTTTCTGTACACAAATTTCTACTAAAAGCATATCTTTGTGAAATACAGTGATTGCTAAGTGAATATCTTCTTTTCAGAATGTATACCAATGGAAGTTATTTTATTCGTATTATCAAAGCAAATGTCCACTGGCTTATCAATGAATGAGGGAGGCCTTGCTATTCTAAGTTGGTTTCATATCCAACTACATGCAATTATAGTGTTTATTTAATAATAAACACTTGATCCTTGTTCATTTTCAAATGTCACCCACAGCCAGTTAGATTGGGATGTATTTCTTCCTGGAAAAGAATATGTCTTCTGTTAAGATTTATTCAAAAACAGATCATTATGGTCAAATTTATGACTCTATTTTTGTCTTCTATTATATTATCATTCTTTTTTATTCCTTTTCATTTTCTATATTCTTTAGTTGATTACTGTCCTAGTTTGCCAGGGCTGCCATAACAAAATACAATGAAGTGAGTGGCTTAAGCAACAGAAATTTATTTTCTCACTGTTCTGGAGGGTAAAAGTCAAGAGCAAGGCATTGGCAGGGTTGCTTTCTTCTAAGGTCTTTGTCCTTGGTTTTGCAGATGGCTGACTTCTCCCTGTGTCTTCATTTCGTCTTCCCCTGTGTGTGTCTGTATTCAAATTTCCTATTGTTATGTGATGCCCATCATATTGGATTAGAGCCCACACTAATTATCTCATCTTAATTCAATTACCTCTTTTAAGGCCTTAATTTAATTACCTCCTTTAAGGCCTTTGAACAAAGAATGTTCAAATTAAGCACAATTACACTCATTTCACACACTTGCAAAGTAATGCTCAAAATTCTCCAAGCTAGGCCTCAAGAGTATGTGAACTGAGAACTCGCAGATGTTCAATCTGGTTGCCAACATCTATTGCATCATAGAAAAAGCAAGAGAATTCCAGAAAAACATCTACTTCTACTTCAGTGACTATGTTAAAGCCTTTGACTGTGTGGATCACAACAAACTGGAAAATTCTTAAAGAGATGGGAATACTAGACCACCTTACCTGCCTCCTGTGAAATGCATGCAGGTCAAGAAGCAAGAGTTAGAACCAGACATGGAACAATGGACTGGTTCCAAGTTGGAAAATGAGTAACTCAAGGCTGTATATTGTCACCCTGCTTATGTAACTTATATGCAGAGTACATCATGCAAAATGCCAGACTGGATAAAGCACAAGCTGGAATCAAGTTTGCGGGGAGAAATACCAATAACCTCAAATATGCAGATGACACCACCCTTATGGCAGAAAGCGAAGAGGAACTAAAGAGCCTCTTGATGAAGAGACATTACTTTGTCAACAAAGGTCTGTCTAATCAAGGCTATGGTTTTTCAAGTGGTCATGTGTGGATGTGAGAGTTGGACTACAAAGAAAGCTGAGCACTGAAGAAATGATGCTTTTGAACTGTGGTATTGGAGAAGACTCTTGAGATCCAACCAGTCCATTCTAAAGGAGATCAGTCCTGGGTGTTCATTGGAAGGACTGATGTTAAAGCTGAAACTCCAATACTTTGGCCACTTGATGCAAAGAACTGACTCCTTGGAAAAGACCCTGATGCTGGGGAAGATTGAAGGCAGGAGGAGAAGGGGACGACAGAGGATGAGATGGTTGGATGGCATCACCGACTCAATGGACATGAGTTTGAGCAAGCTCTGGGAGTTAGTGATGGACAGGGAGGCCTGGCGTGCTGTAGTTCATGGGGTCACAGAGAGTTAGACACAACTGAGTGACTGAACTGAACTGAACTGATGAAGATGAAAGAGGAAAAAGCTGGCTTAAAACTAAACTTTCAAAAAAACGAAGATCGTGGCATCCAGTCCCATCATTTCATGGCAAATAGATGGGGAAACAATGGAAACAGTGACAGACTTTATTTTCTTGGGCTCCAAAATCACTTCAGATGGCAACTGCAGCCATGAAATTAAAAGATGCTTGTTCCTTGGAAGAAAAGCTATGACCAACCTAGACAGCATATTAAGAAGCAGAGACATTACTTTGCCAACAAAGGTCCATCTAGTCAAAGCTATGGTTTTTCCAGTAGTCATTTTTGGATGTGAACATTGGACCATAAAGAAGACTGAGTGCCAAAGAATCGATGCTTTTGAACTGTGGTGTTGAAGACTCTTGAGAGTCCCTTGGACTGCAAGGAGATCAAACCAGTCAATCCTAAAGGAAATAAATCCTGAATATTCATTGGAAGGGCTGATGGTGAAGCTGAAGCTCCAATACTTTGGCCACCTGATTTGAAGAGCTGACTCATTAGAAAAGACCCTAATACTGGGAAAGATTGAAGGCAGGAGGAGAAGGGGATGACAAAGGATGAGATGGTTGGATGGCATCACCGACTCAATGGACATGAGTTTGAGCAAGTTATGGGAGTTGGTGATGGACAGGGAAGCCTGGTGTGCTACAGCCCATGGGGTCTCCAAAGAGTCAGACACAACTGAATGTATGAACAATGACAACAAAAAAGATTTATCTCCAAATATAGTCCCAATCTGAGATACTGGAGGTCGGGAGGAGTTCCACATATGGTGTAGGCACAGTTCAGTCAATAACAGTTACTTTAATTAACCTTAATTTATTTGGATATTTCCAGGGTTCAACTTCACTGGAGTTTATTGTCTGGGGAGCATCGACTGAGTGTTATGTTACAACATTCGTGCCAATGTTGAAAAGCAGCTGTAGTTATCTCAAGTCCATGCATCACATTCCTAGTGAAATTATCCCCTTGGAAGACTGGATGAGTGGAGTTTACGTGAACAGTCAGGGTTTTAATATGATCAAAGTTTTGCCGGTAAGAAACCTAAGCAGTTCCAGTGATGTGTTACTTTTGTGTGATTGGCTAGCCATTCGGTCTTAGCATTTCTTTCCTGAATTACTCAAAACACTTCAGTTATTTTTCAATCTTCATGTCATTTTGAGGATATGATGACTAAAATGTGAAAATGTTCTGAACTAATTGTTTTTCTTAGTGTAATAGTCTCATCATTATTAATATCAAATTTTCTGCTATATTATGGTGGCATAATCTTGGGCTTTCACAGTATATGTAGTTATTTGCCCTTAAGCTGACTCATACTTGTCCTGAGCTGATATATCTTACTGGTCCCATTTCAATGTAGTGACAATTTTAATTTTTGCCTCATCAGAATACATGACTCTTTTTAAAATATAAATTACTGCTCTTTGTTAACTGATACTTATCATTTTCTTTGTAACAAAAAACCCCAAATTATTACCCAAATCTTCAATTATTTAGTAAATAATTGAATTATTTATTAAATATGTCACTAAGACTGTTAATAAGATTTTTAAACTTCGTTGCATGACTTCATGACAGCTACCTTAGTCTCTAAAACTTTTTTTACTTGTTTACAAGGTCCAAGTTGCATTAACATGGTTAAAGGAGTGCTGGGGGAAGAGAAATTTACTTAAATACATGGAGCTAAAAGTGAAATATCTGTTTTGAGTGCTTTTCTGGAAAATCAAGATATTTAAATTAAAGACTTAGTAAATAATAATGAAATTTACAGTATCTTTGTTTGATCATTTTCAGATAAACTACAGGCCTCCGTCTAACATGGGAATTGCTATTCCGCTTACAGATAATTTTTATCATGCAGATCCTAGCAAACCCATACCGAGAAATCTATTTTACAAGTCGAAGGTAAATATTTTTTCTGCAGATAAACTAGTATTTATCTTAATTCAAGAGATCATTCAGTAAAATTACAGATGAAGAGACCTAGCTGCAGAGATTAAACGAGAAGGTGCATTAAGCGTAATATGCCTTATGCAGCACCGCTTCTCCTTCCCCTCCCCCTCCTCTCCTCCCGCCTCCTATCTAGCACTGCTGCTATTACCACTGCTATCCCTGTTCCTCGGCTACTGCCTTAGCCCTTTCTTCTCTTACTGCTATTCCTGGATTTGGTTTTGGAACCAAGGAATCTAAATGGACTCTTTCCCCTTCTTGACCTCTCCCGAACTCCCACTTGAATTTCAAAGAGCATAAGGAGGATGAGAGCATTGGTTTTTCGTGGCTTTTTTTTTTCTTTGGTTTGTTTGTTTTTTTTAATGAAAGAGCCCCAAAGTATCGCATAGTTTGAGCCCTGTGAAAGGAATGATGTCCAAAAGGAGATAAGAGTATTTGCTCCAACATAGAGTCCTTTCCTGCCTAGAAAATAGCCAAGCCCCAGCAGCACTCTGCCTGTCTCGAGTTTGAGTGAACAAAGTAGAGAGAAGCCACTAGGTTCAAAAGGAAAGTGCATCACTGGGTGGCTGCCCAAGGGAATCTTATAGATACCTGTGAAATCTCCCTCCAGAAAACACACCTAATTGCGTATACATATGGACACGCAGACATTCATATCCATTCTTGAACATACATGCACACACAAAGACAGAAAATGGTTGTTCCTTTTGTTCAAAACTCTTCATCTCCCTGTCTCATTCAGAGTAAAAGGTTAATTCTTACAATGGTTTATAAGGTCCTCCATGGTTTAGCCTTGGATTTGCATCTGACCTGATTTCCCCCAGGTCAGTCTGTTCTGGCCATGTTGGCCTCCTTGCTATTCCTCAAATATACTAGATGTATTTTCACCTCAGGGTCTTTAAACTTCAAAAATTTCCTCTGTCTGGAATGCACTTCTGCCAGATATCACATGGCACATCTCATCACCGTCTTCAGGTTTTTGCTTAAATGTTGCCATCATTGTGAGGCCTTCCTTGACCACTCTACTTAAAACTGTACCATCCACCTCCACTGATACCAATCCTGCCCCTCTTCCCTGCCTTATTTTTCTTCATTGCACTTTTTACAATTTTACATATTTTACCCATTTATTTATTATATTTCATTAAAAAGTAAGCTACATAAGACAGAGTTGTTATTGAGGATTTTTAATCAGTTTTATTCTCTCTGTTATCTTTAGTGTCCCTTGAAGGTGGCTCAGTGGTAAAGAACCTGCCTGCAAATGCAGGAGATGTAAGAGACATGGGTTCAATCCCTGCATTGGGAAGATTCCCTGGAGGAGGGCATGGCAACCCACTCCAGTATTTTTGCCTGGAGAATCCCCATGGCCAGAGGAGCCTGGCAGGCTACAGTCCATAGGGTCTCAGAGTAGGACACGACTGAAGCGATTTAGCATGCATGTATCTTTAGTACCCAAAAAAGTGCCAGACATAGGTAGTGCTTGAAAATTGTTCAACAGACCAATAATACACATTTATATACATCCTATTACACACACTCACACACACAAACACACACTTACATGACAACATGAGACTGACTTGTTGAACCTTAGATTTCAGGGTAAAAAATTCTGTTCCAGGCAATGAGCAACTCAAATACTGAATTCTTCAATTCTAGTCTCTTCCGAAGATGAACGCTGTTATGTCACTAGAATCAAGCCTTCTCTATTGAAATATGAGTTTAACATATTTACATAGAAATCCTTAGTTTGGGTTTTCTTTTTTTTCTTCTGGATTTTCTTGGGAGTTGAATAGGAAATTATCTAATTTATATATAAGTAAATAACAGATTTTCGTGGGTACCTTTTCTACATTCAACAAATGTTTATTTCACACTCCAGCATTTCCAGAGTTATCAGACACTGTACAGATATTTTCTAGAGAGACAACAGTGAACTAGATAAACATGACGTCTTTGAGGATCTTTAATGGGGGAGAATAAACTTTGAAAACTATACAGTCCATGGGGCCACAAAGAATGACACATGACTGAGCGACAAACACTTTCACTTTCAAGTTTTGAAAACTATACAAATTAAATAGTATCACCTAGTGGAGCAGACTAAAAATGTATGTAATTCTGCCTCTGATCACCTCAAAATATACCACCTGGGGGAAAAGTGCATCTGGACCAATCCTGTAACTTCTCGCTACACTGACATCATCCCCTTACTAGGCAATCACATGGAGCATCATTCCAGATACACAGTTTGCAGTTAGACTCCCCAAGGATAAACAGACAAATGCTTTCAAACTGTGGTGTTGGAGATGCTTGAGAGTCCCTTGGACAGCAAGGAGATCAAACCAATCAATCCTAAAGGAAATCAACCCTGTATATTCATTGGAAGGACTGATGCTGAAGCTAAAACTCCAACACTTTCACCACCTGATGAGAATAACTGACTCATTGGAAAAGCCCCTGATGCTGGGAAAGATGGAGGACAGGAGGAGAAGGGAACAACAGAGGATGAGGTGGTTGTATGCCATCATCGACTCAATGGACATGACTTTGAGCAAACTCCAGGAGATGGTGAAGGACAGGGAAGCCTGGCATGCTGCAGTCCATGGGGTCACAAAGAGTTGGACATGACTGAGTGACTGAACAATGATGATCAACAACAAATATTTGAAAAAAACTTCCACAATAAGAAAGAAGCATAATCTCAACAACTTAAAAAACTGCCTCAGAAAACAGTATCATAAATACAAGCAAACTTTAGAATAAGCATGGTAATTATTTCAGAATAATTCAAGGAACTATCATAATGATGAAAAAAATGAAGACAGACATCACACACACACACACACACAAACACACACACACACAAATGTCAAAAATTGAAAATATAATTGTGAAACCAAGAGTTCAAGAGATTCAAAGAGCTTAATGAACCCAACTAAGCAGCAAATTAGTTCTGAAATGAAATAGTGGTAATGATTGAACAACATTGTGAATGTACTAAAGCCCACTGCACTGTACACTTGAAAATGATAAATTTTATCTCAATACAAAGAAGAAAAAAGGAAGCAATAAGGACAGGAATGGTAATCTTATAAAAAGAAGGAAGAGTAACCTTTTTTAGAAATAGAGTTGATTATCAAAATCAAAAGCCAGTTCTTTGCCAAAATGAATAAACTAACCTCTAGCAAGAATGATCAAATGAGAAAATGAATAACACGTGGATGGCTGTAGTGGGGATTTTAACAGCCTTAGTGACTGCGATGAGGAGAGAGAAGTACAAAATAATAAGTTTGGAGACTATCCATAGTCTGCAGCACATCATGTCACGTCTGCTCCTTTAGGTCTTAGCTTCCATGCCAGTGATGGACAGGGAGGTGAGCATCCTAATTACTGCATTCAGAGTGACACAGGCTGGACTTCCCTGGTGGTACAGTGGATAGGAATCTGGGACACAGTGTCGACCCCGGGTCTGGGAGGATCCCACATGCCACAGAGCAGCTAAGCCTGTGTGCCACAACTACTGAGCCCACACTCTAGAGCCCAGCAACCACAACTACTGAAGCCTCTGCACCCTAGATCCCGTGCTCTGTAACAAGAGAAACCACCACAATGAGAAGCCCAGGTACCTCAACGAAGAACAGCCCCCACTCACCACAACTAGAGGAAACCTGGGCACAGCAGGGAAGACTCAGAGCACCAATATAAAATAAATGTTTTGTTGGGTTTTTTTAATGATACAAGCTTTCTGGTCCCCTGCATGTTGACTCTAGGGTCACCCTGAGGTAAGCAGCTGAGTGATACTTGGGTTCCTTACTAAGCAAGGAGACAAAATTCAGAAATACTGTGCTTTTACCTTATTATTAATGGATTTTTCCCCTTTGACCTTCTCAAAGATTTTATTCATTCAGGCAACAAATATTTATTTCATATTTACTCAATCTGCAAAAATTCTGCCACCAAAAACAGTACATCGACCTATTTTAATTCTATTTGCAGAGATCTGGTAAATTCAAACAGTGTGCAAATGCAACTACTCGGAAGGAGTGTAATTGTACAAATGATCAGAAGTTTTCATATGCTGTTGCTTTCTCAGATTGTCGAGAAAAGGTAAGATAATCTTTAATTTCCTGAAGACAGGGTACTTTCATATTAATAAGATTTTGAAATGGGCATTTTGGTTAAACATGAAAGGTAAGATGTAGAAATAATGTCTTATTGTGACATAGAATTAAAGACGACATCAGGCTAAAAAGATTATAATATAAATGTTCCCAGACATAGTAATTCTCGCAAAGAGTCACACACAACTGAGCGATTGAACTGAACTGAACTGAGACATAGTAATTAACCTCATCTGTAAAAGAGAATAAAACCTGCATTGTCCTATTCATTTCACAGGTTCTTATAAAGATACACACATGCATATATCTATATGATAGCAATTTATAACCTGTCAAAAGCTACACTAGATTGTGGTAAATATTGATTTATTCAAAAAAGTGTTGAGTATATAATATGTATCAGGCTCTGGAATATCAAACTTGAAGCTCAAGGTACTAGTGACAAAATAGAAGACAGTATAATATGCTGGTTAAGAGAATGGGTTCTGTGTCAAATAGTTCCTTCTGTCAGTCTCCAAGCATTCAGACATGTATCAGGTTGATGTTGGTGTCTGCATTAGCTGACTCAACCTGCACACTTGGTATAACTTTCAAGTAGACCTATTTCAAAGTCCTTGTCAGACTACGTATGACATTATTTTAAGTGATTTCATTGTTTTGTTTTTATATAAAAATAAAATTATGCACCATAATATTGGGCATAGAGTCAGCATTCAATAAATTACAAAGGTTGCTATTATATACCACCACAACTCCACACTTGCTGAATTCCACTATTTCTTGAGCATTCACTTCTACCATAGACTGCTCTAAGGCTGCTCTGTGACTTGTCTCATTTCACTGGAGGCACAGAGAAGCCTGGTAATTTGATAAAGATCACATCATTAATATGTGATGGAGCTAGATTTCAACTCTAGAGCCTGAGTTTAATGAGTATGATAAAAAGATCATGACTGGCAGGGAGAGGGCTTTGGGAAGACCCAGTTCATACAGCTTTCCTCATAGTTCAACTCTCACATCCATACATGACTACTGGAAAAACCATAACCTTGACTAGATGGACCTTTGTTGGCTAAGTAATGTCTCTGCATTTTAGTATGCCGTCTAGGTTGATCATAACTTTTCTTCCAAGGAGTTCAGTTCAGTTCAGTTCAGTTGCTCAGTTGTGTCTGATTCTTTGCAACCCCATGAACTGCAGCACGCCAGACCTCCCTGTCCATCACAGTAAGCGTCTTTCAATTTCATGGCTGCAGTCATCACCTGCAGTGATTTTGGAGCCCCCAAAAATAAAGTCTGCCACTGTTTCCACTATTTCTCCATCTATTTGCCATGAGGTGATGGAACCAGATGCCATGATCTTTGTTTTCTGAATGTTGAGCTTTAAGCCAATGTTTTTACTCTCCTCATACAGTACCTTACAGTTCATACAGTACCTTAAGGGATATGAGTTAGTCAAAAAATCATCATAGCAAATTCCTATGGGGAAAAAAAAAAGGTCAATAGAAAGATATGAGTTTTGCTACCACAGTGTTTGCATATTAGTTTTGGAACTCACACTGATTCTGCTGTAAGACAGATTTTTTTTCATGACCTGAGAAGGCAGAAATTCTCTCAGAAGCACACTTAATTTAGAATAGCCAAATTGTATTCATCCTTTTCCAGGAAATGAAATTAGTATTGAATTTTCCAAATTTATACTCATTCTTGGCATTTGCATTTTAGGTTCCTCGTTTTAAGTTTCCAGTTATACAATATCCAATTTCTTTGCAAGTTTTCAGTGAAGATGGAAATTTCCCAGTGGAAACTCCATACCTGGTTACTGTGACTGAAGTGAATAACAGGGAAAACTGGAACCTAAGTAGGATTTGCTTTCTTCTACAATTGTTATAGCTATAAGTACTATGGTTATTGGGCTTTCCAGATTGTGCAGTGGTAAAGAATCCACTTGCCAATGCAGGAGATACAAGAGATGTGGGTTCAAGCCCTGGGTCAGGAAGATCCCTGGAACAGGAGATGGCAAGCCACTCCAGTATTCTTGCCTGGAAAATTCCGTGGACAGCGGAGTCTGGCAGGGTACAGCCCATGGCGCTGCAAAGAGTCAAATACGACTGAGCACAGCACACACACTGTTGTTATTACCTAGAGAAGTGGTTTACAAAAACTTTTTACACAAAAGATAACCAAGGGGTCTTTGGAAAAGAAGTTGAATCAGTTATCATATCACTATTCATACTACTTCTATCATCTCACACATTTCTTTTTTTTTAATACAGTGCAATGATTCAGTTATACACATATTTATATATTCTTTTTCAGATCTTTACCCTTTATAAATTATTACAAAATATTGAGTAGATTTCCCTGTGCTGTATAACAGGTCCTTGATGGTGACCTATTTTGTAAATAGTGCTATATGTTAATCCCCACCTCCTAGCTTATCCCTTCTTCCCCTCTCCCCTTTGTTAACCATGTTTGTTTTCTGTGTCTGTGTCTCACACTTACTTCGTCATCACTTCAGTGACCTGGATTCAGAGCCATTATCTAGATTAGCAGCAAAAATGATTGACTGAGTTTGTGCCACATGTTGGTCTGGTGTCTCCTTTCATTGCTTATATGGAGGAAGATATAAAAGGTGTTGCCAGATTATCCATAGGATCTATCTTCTAATTATATAAGAAAAGTTTATTAAATAGCTTATGGTAAAATAATTGAAATAAGGCAGAAGTATTTCTAAATAAGTAAAATGAAATCTACCAAAATTCAATTTTACCTCAAATACATAATTTTTTGTTGCACATTTGTGTTTGTTCACAAATGTGTGCTTTTAAGGAGATTGATGGGTAGATAGATTGATAGATCAATAAATGGAGTTAAATGAAATTTCTAAATGTGACCAAATATCCAGACATTTCGTATTCTGTGAGTCATACTCTGACCCACATATGAATTTTTGAAATGAAAAATTGAGCAAAGAGAATTAGTAAATATTTGTTCTAACACATCCTCGTTTTCTGTGGTTTGCTGAAGTCTGTTCTTTTTGAGCACCAATTGTTAAATATTCAAGTATTTTGCATAGTGGTTGTTACACACTAGTTGCTTAAAATTAGTCATGAAGAGGATATTCACACCCTGTATGGAAAAAAATGAACCCTCCTATGCTGTTGGTAGGAATGTAAATTGGTACAATTACTATGGAGAACAGTGTGGAGGTTTCTTAAAAAAACTAAAAATAGAACTGTTACATGACCCAACTATCCCACTCCTGTGCATCTATCCCAACAAAACTATAATTCAAAAAGATATATGCACCCCTGTTCATAGCAGCTCTATTTGCAATAGCCAAGACATGGAAGTGACCTAAGTGCCGACGGACAGATGAATGGATAAAGAAGATGTGAGATAGATATATATATATACATATATATAGATGGACTATTGCTCATCTATAAAATGAATGAAAGAATACCATCTGCAGCAACATAGATGGACCTAGTGCTTATCACACTAAGCAAAATAAGAAAGAAAAAGATAAATATCATATGATATCACTTATATGTGGAATCTGAAATATGTTACAAATGAACTTATTTACAAAACAGAAGAAAACTCATCGACATAGTAAACAAATTTATGATTACCAAAGGGGAAAAGGGGTGGGAGAAGGATAAATTAAGAGTTTGGGATTAGCAGATACAAACTACTATATATAAACTAAATAAATAAACAAGTCTTACTGTATAGCACAAGAAACTATATTCAACATCCTGTAATACCCTATAGTAGAAAAGAATATGAAAAAGAATATATATATATATGCTGAATCACTTTGCTATATACTAGGAACTAACATAAAATTTTTTTCTAACATAATATTTTAAATGAACTACACTTCAACTTAAATTTTTTTTAATTTAGAAAAGAATATTCACATCCTGAAAACTGGCAGATGCTGCAATCAGAGGATTTTTTTCCCCTTTAGATCCCATGTACTGTTACACCACTGCAATTTCTAACCCCTACACTACATATCTAGTTTTAGGAAGAATTATAAGAAGACAGGAGTAACTGATCATTTCCTTTGGAAAGAGATTTTAGTGATTTTATTGTGGAACTTCTCTGCTACCTTACTGGAAATCATTTACCAACTGAAGGTAGTCCTGAAATTATTTCATTGCCAAATATCCAAAATATAGGGAAATCAGGACTAGTCAAGAGCATAGGGCAGGAAAGGGGGCTGTGGTGGGGGAAGCACAGGGCAGGAAAGAAAGGTCAGTCTGGATTAAGGTGGTCAGAGATCTTGTCCTTCTTGGTGATGTCCCTGAGAAGATACGCTGTCATATGCTAAGGCTAATTTCCCATAAATATATTCTCCACCAAGTCAAGAACTAAAACTGTGAAAGAATTTAGCCATGTTATAGAGTGGAATCTTTCACTGTACCTTAATGTATTTAAGAAACTTTATGCAGGATGAGAAAATAGCATACATGTGCTAAAAATACACTTGGTGTGATTTTAGGACACACTGTGCCAGAAAACGTTAAAAAAATGAAGAACTACTTAGAATCAATTCTTTCTGCTCCAGTGTATAATCCTTTAGGCCTCAACTTAAGTATAAAAGTAAGTTGACAACATTTGTATTTTCCCTATTTTGAGTTTAGATAGACCTGTATGTCTTTGTTTTTAAAGTTTAGTTATCTATGAATGGTTATCTATAAAGTTTAGTTATCTATGAATAGCATCTGAGAAGTGTGTGGAGGCTTTCCTCCATTTCCCTTGATGCTATTATTTCTAAAGATAGCTTAATGTTGAATTTAACATTAACTTACCATTTTTTGAGCTGAAATACAAGACTAATGGATTATCAAGGTGGAACAGATAAGGTGTTTCCCAAAGTTAGTAGAAACAGACTCACTATTCTTCACCTTGACATACACAGATACATGTCTTCTGGGTCCAGCTGCCTCTAAGAGCACAGCAGGTTGACATAATGTAGGTAATTGTGGTGAAAGTCAATAGAAGTTAGGGGACGTATTAAAACCACATATGTGGATTAGCCCACAGTACTCCTCAAGGCCTTGTTAGACCTTATGTGTCTGTGAACCTGCTGGATAGTTTAGGGAGCTCAGCTAGGTGCTCTGTGATGACCTTGATGGGTGGGCTGGGTAGTGGGGGCAGAGAGGGAAGTACAGGATGGAGGGGATATATATATAGCTGATTCATTGTACAGCAGAGACTAACACAACATTGAAAAGAAATTATACTCAAATTTTAGAAAAATCTACCCAAAAACCCCAGCACATGTATACCTTAAATGTATATAATTTTTATTTGCCAATTGTACCTCAGTAGAGCTGTAGGGAAAAGAAATAAAATAGAATGGATATCTTTTCTTCAAAAAAAGAAGAAAGAAAAATTAAAAAGTATCAGCTATCGAATCCCTCTGTTTCAAACTCTTGTCCTTCTCCTTCCATTTTTATTTTGTTATATGAAGTATATGCTCAAGAAGCTTAGAAAAGAGATGGGAATTTTTCTATGCAGCATCAGTAAAGAAAGTAAACCCAGTGTGTATTTTTACTTAAAGGAACATACATGTCAATGTTGCTAATGCCTGGTGTATTTTTTCCACAGGGCTCTGAGCTCTTTCACTTCAGAGTGTCTGTTGTCCCGGGGGTCTCTTTCTGTAACTTAGTTGAAGAATTTCAGGTACAGTGAAGGCACAGGTATCCAGTGGTATCCAGTGGGGTGATGGCTGGGGAAATGATATGACAGACATCCGTCCAGGATGCACTGAAGAGAAAAAAATGACAACGTATATGATGGACAAGGCTCAGAGATGGGGGGTCCTGAAGACTGGAGGTGACATCATCAGCAAGGGTGAAGTCAGGGCCCTCGATAGTCTCAGGACCAGTTGATGCTGGGAAACTTGTAATAAGTGTCTGTGTTTGTTTTTGTTCCCTCTTCACCTTCCATATTTAGCTAGGTTTTCTGATCCCCCCACCATCTCCCCATAGAGACCTCTGTCTGTAACCTTTTAGTTCCCAACATTATCCTCCCTTTGGTTATTTGCATTGTAACAATAGAGTCTTATATGCTCCCAAAGTCATCAAGATCCAAAAGAATTGGAAACCAAAGTCAGTCTCCTCAAATCACCCTCTGATGTTCAGTGACTCATTTTTGCTTATTCGCATAATGCTATCTGCTGCCTGTGGGGGTGTGGAGGAATGAAGATTTGATTAAATTAATGGCTCATTCACTCTCAGATACCAATACATTATCAAAAACAAAAGCTCTCAACTCTCTCCTTTTTCTTTTTCTGTCCTGGCCCTGTCTCAGTAATGAGTCTGCACCAGATGGGTGGCCAAAGCAGCAGTGTAGACACTTAAGATCCTGAGAGAAAATCCATCTCACTAGAAAGAGGATCTAGAAAAAGAAGTACCTGTCATATGAGGAGCCTAAGAGAAAATCCTCATTGTTTTTCTCACCTCTTTGTCCCCTGGTCAGCCCCAGTTTCATGGAAGAGCACAATAATACAGGGAGATAAAACTCTAATGAATTAGATTCATGAATCCACAGAAGTAAGAAGAAAGTTGTACAACATCCTTAATGTACTGAGGACAGTCATAGTGTAGGGAGGAAGGACTGTCTACCCAGAATTCAATATCTAGTGAAAATATCCTTCAGAAATGAGAGGGAAATAAAGGTATTTTCAGGTGAAGGAAGAATAAAGTAATCTACTGTAGGCAGAACTTCTCTAAAAAAAAAATGCATAAGGAAGTTCTTCAGGCTAAGAATATGTGTCAACAGAGAGACAACGTTTCAAGAATGAAGGAAGAATTACAAAAATGAATGAAAGAAAAATAGGAAGTAATTGCACAGTTAATAAAGGAAGAGAATCATTAAGAAACAATAGAAAAAGATAAAGTTTCTTAAATCATGCTTTTGAAAGTATCCTGAAACAATGGAATGCAAAGCAAAATCTTGGCTTTTTTACTCACTATAAAGGACATTATTGAAATCACTGACAAAATTTGAGTAAAATCTGTAGATTAGAAAGTAGCATTGTCTCAGAGTTAATATCTTGGTTTGATAATTGCACTCTAATATGAGTGAATACTTTCAATTTGTGTTAAAGAAGCACAAACTGAAGTATTTTGATGATAAAAAGATATTGTGTCCAGAACATAGTTTTCTGTGATTCTGGGGTTTGACCTTTGTTTTAAACATGTCATGGAATATTTAGATAATCATAGAAGATTGGAAGGGAAACATTAAAAGAAAAACTGTTTTCAAGAACTTTAGAGACAGAAGTTTAGCTGGAGAATACATGATTCAGGGGTGATAGGGTTTCCACTCTCAGAAATGTATAAAAGTGAAAGTGAAAGTCACTCAGTAGTGTCCAATTCTTTGCGACCCCATGGACTATACAGTCCATGGAATTCTCTAGGCCAGAATACTGGAATGGGTAGCCTTTCCCTTCTCCAGGGGATCTTCCCAAGCCAGGGATTGAACCCAGGTCTCCAGCATTGCAGGCAGATTCTTCACCAGCTGAGCCACAAGGGAAGCCCTAGAAATGTATTATATGGCTTAATTGAAGAAATGAAATTTTCATATTGTCCAGTCAGTAAAGTCACTAAAATTTTGTTTTAGGTAGAAATGGGTAAGTAAGGCATTCTGGGTGGAAAGAATGACAGCAGCAAAGACACAGATACAGAGAGGCATTAAGCAATCATTTCAGTAGTGGAGCCATTTGGCTGGAATAGGAAGTTATGTATAAGAAAGTGGGTAGAAAAAAAAAAAAAAGAAAGTGGGTAGCTTAGGGTCCCATTGTGGGAGACCTCGAATGTCGGAATGAGAACTTTGGAAAATTCCTATCAGCAATGAAAGGCATTAAACATTTTTGAAAAGGAGTGTTTAGGGATGAGCACATGATCTACAATTGTGCAATCCCAGTGCTTTTGCTCAAAGTGCTGAGATGTGAACTTGCTCTTTTTTTTTTTTAATATGCATAACATAAAAAGAATCCCCCCCCCCGCCAGGGAACATGACATTTTTTTTTTCATTTATTTTTATTAGTTGGAGGCTAATTACTTTACAATATTGTAGTGGTTTTTGCCATACATTGACATGAATCAGCCATGGATTTACATGTGTTCCCCATCCCAATCCCCCCTCCCACCTCCCTCCCCATCTCATCCCTCTGGGTCTTCCCAGTGCACCAGCCTCGAGCACTTGTCTCATGCATCCAACCTGAACTTGCTCTTTCTTAATGACATTGAACAAGGAAGCTTGCAGCCTCAGGAGCTACTGTCAAGCCATAGGACTCCTGGGACTTTGGAGGGAATTATCCGACACTGAGGAAGCAGAACAGAGAGATAGAAGAAGGAAAAAAAGATTATGATTACAATGGATTATTTCCTCTGGTCTTCCTAACTTTAGCATTTTCTTTAGAGAAAAACAGATTCATTTTTGCAATTACATGCAGCACACAATTGTCTCCCTCACAGACCACAAACAGATTAGATCTTTAGATCTTACAAAGCTAATTATCCAACCTCCTCTGATGGGCCACCTTTAAAAGAAACACTTTTGTTGTCTTGGAGCACCATACCGAAAACCACAAGTAGTGTATCACATTCAATAGGTCATATTTTTCTATAAAAGTGAAGTGAAGTTGCTCAGTCGTGTCTGACTCTTCGTGACCCCATGGACTGTAGCCCGCCAGGCTCCTCCATCCATGGGATTTTCCAGGCAAGAGTACTGGAGTGGGTTGCCATTTCCTTCAATCCCCAATAATTCCTGAAGCACTGGGTGTGTAGTCTGAGCCTCCAAGTACAATAGGACATGATTAAACCAGCTGGTCCATTACCACGAGGATAATTATCTTCTCATATTGGAAGCAGTTTCTCACTGCTTTCCACACCACTTGCCAGAGCCACCTTTTAAATTCTATTGCTTTCAATACCTCATTTTTGGTACCACTTCTAAATAGTCAAGGCTTTCTCATAGCTCAGTTGGTAAAGAATCCACCTGCAGTGCAGGAGACCCCAGTTCAATTCTTGGGTTGGGAAGTTCCACTGAAGAAGGAATAGGCTACCCACTCCAGTATTCTTGGGCTTCCCTGTGGCTCAGCTGGTAAAGAATCCACCTGTAATGCAGGAGACCTGAGTTTGATCCTTGGGTTAGGAAGATCCCCTAGAGAAAGGGATAGGCTACCCACTCCAGTATTCTGGCCTGGAAAATTTCATGGACTGTATAGTCCAAAGAGTCAGACATGACTGAGCAACTTTTACCTTCACCTAGATGGTCAAGATTCTTCTGGTCAAAAATAAAGCAGTCCCTCTTTGTTTAAAAAAGAAAAGTTTTTTTATAGACAGACCAATGTTTTACAAAGATCAATCTGGCAATGTTATTATGTCAACATGAATTGACAACATGGAAAGGAGGCTATTTATACAAAGAAAGGTAATAAAACTCCAAATAGCAATATCAAAAGTAGAACAGAAAGAACCTGAAAAAAATATTTTAAAAATTAATAGCTATAGGACTGCTTCTTAAAAAAAATATATACCCTTATATCACTGAAGGATGGTGATATCTTGAACTTGAGCTATACACTAAAGCAGCTTTTTAATCCTTTATCTTGTCCTGGCATTTTCCCACATCCTATTTCTATTCATCTCTACTTTATTCTACCTCAAAAGATAGTCTTGCTTCTTAGTTCACAGGGAAAGCATAAGCTTGAACCATTTTACACTCCATATGCCCCCATTTCTACCTGTAGCATACATGGCATCCATCCTTACCTCTAGTCTCAGAGGAAAAGATCCTTGCTTCTGTCAGTGATCCTGTCTCCCCTCTAGGAACTTGTTTTTATTAATTATCCTCTCAGGCAGAGGAAACATTTTGAATATACAGAACTTTCCCAATGTTGGCACTCATACTGAGAATTTTCTGAAGAGATGGTAGTCTGGAAGAGCACATGCTTATTTCCTCTACCTTGGATGTACCTTCTCCTCCTCCTCTTATTCTCCAAGATTCAGATCGGGAAGCACATTCTCTGGTTACTCCAAGCAGTCAGGCACTTCTCACCATGTTCCATGTTCCCTGATAGCTCAGCTGGTAAAGAATCGGCCTGCAATGCAAGAGACCCCAGTTTGATCCCTGGGTTGGGAAGATCCCCTGGAGAAGGGAAAGGCTACCCACTCCAGTATTCTGGCCTGGAAAATTCCATGGACTGTATAGTCCATGGGGTCACAAAGAGTCAGACATGACTTAGCAATTTTCACTTTCACCATGTTCCAATGGCACTTTGCCTGTTCCTCTGTGACTGAACACATAATGTTTTCCTACTGTGTAAGTGTTCTGTCTAACCACCTCTGCCATTAAAGACAAACGATAAGGCTTCCCTGGTGGCTCAGTAGTAAAGAATCTGCCTGCCCATGCCGGAGACACAGGTTCGATCCCTGATCCGGGAAGATCCCACATGCCACAGAGCAAGTAAGCCCGAGCATAGAAGAAAAAAGACAAAAGATAAGATATAGGATATAAATCAAATTCTTATTCCCTATGTAACATGTGCACATTGTTACCTGTCAGATTGCCAAGAGACTGTTTCTGAGGTTTGTGGAGGCTGAATATCTATATCAGTCTGGACAGAATATTGCTATATGAGTAGTAGTGTTTCCACCATTGTGTGAATCATGTCAAGTTCAATGTTTTGAATCGCTGAGCTCAGAAAACTTAGACTTTGCTTTCTCTGTTGCAGATTTATGTTGACGAAGTCCCTCTGCCATTTCCAGGACACACCCTTATTGCTGTCGCAGCAGCTGTACTGCTAGGAGGATTAATTTTTATAGCATTTATGTTCCAGATACGTAACATCCACCCATGGGATACATTCAAAAAACTGATTAGAAGAAGCAATGTGAACCCCACAAATACCACTGCCAATTAGCTGGTTCATAGATGAAAATCTGAATAGTGAACAAATAATAATTATAATTTTCTCTGTATTTCCTAGTTTCATTAGATAATTCCTAGAATAAAATGTATTTAAATGTTAATGTAAAAATTAGATAAAATACTATAGAATTAGCATTTTTAACTCAAATTACACTTTGTCAACATGTTTACCATTCCATTCTCTTATTTTGGATACATAGAAAATTTCTTATGTTAACACTTAGAAGATTTTCCTTGAGATTCTTAAGAAAATGAAAAATGATAACCATCTCTTGGGGGACGGGTTTTCTGTATTTATTCTTTAGTTTTTGTTGACTGGAGCCCGTTCTGAGCCTTGTCCTTTTCAGATTAGAATGAGTAGAATCCAATCCTGCCAGGGAAAGATAGGTGATAAAGGAGGCTCATGTCCATGTATGCTTTCAGAACCTCATGAGAATTACAGGTGAAGCCACTTGGGTTTTCTTGAGGCAACTTCAAAATCAGACTGTAGCACCTAAAGAGGAGGAAATGTGACCCCATTATGGGGCTGAGTCTGGGGGAGGTACTGGCTTACAGAACTCCAGGTGACATGTAGAATTCCAGAAGATGCACCTCTCTGTGCTCTCAGAGCACCCATTCCCAGGCCATCAGAAGACGGCCAGCACATTCGGAGAGCAGAGAGTTACACCCTCCCGGGAAAGCCCAGAAGGAGCCACAGACTGCTCTTGACAACACGGGGCAAGGCTGGGCATCCAGCTCAGGAGAGTCCAGTTCTGGGAGCCGCAAGCCACGGCCGAGCCTGTGCATCCTGAAAGTTCTTCTGAGAGGACAGTGGGCAGGGTAGACCCAGCACTCAGACTCAGGAGCCAGACATTACAGGTTTGCCACTTCCTAGGCGTATGACCTGAGAAAATCATTTAGTTTCTTTGTGCCTGAGTGTTTTCACCTGTAAAATGGGGATAATATTAATACCTACCTAATAGGGCTGTTGTGAAGGCCAAGTGAATCAATACATACAAAATAATTAGAACAGTGCGGGCTTTGTGAATACTTTTAAGTGTTAGCTGTTGCTGTTCCGTTGCAGGTAACAGAAATCCATCCTGTCTAACTGCAATGAAAGGGGAGTTTATTGGAAGGGTACTACAGGAAGCCAGAAAATCAAAGCAAAATCCGGACAAGCAGTGCTTGTCTATGGAGAGAAGGAGACCCACTCTGGGGACCTAGGAGACAGGAGTTTGTCAGCTCCTCAGGGCATCACTTGGGCTAGGGCTCCAGAGATTAAACATGGCACAGAGGTTAAAAGTATAAACTACAGAGTCTGACAAGCTGTGCTTCTTCTTTTAATAAATTTTTTAAACTACTTTCACATTTACTGAAAAGTTATTACGGTGGTACAGAGGGTTCTCATATAACCCACACTCAGTTGCCCCTGATATTAACATCTTATAGCCTGGTTTTTATCTAGTTCCATCACCTACAAGCTATGTGACGTCAGCAAAGTTATTTAACCTAAGAGTCTATCTCATGGTCTACACTTTGGCTGTTTGAGCTGTAGGATGCTATGTATGCATCTGTATCCCTGTGTGTTCAAAGATACCCCTGCTCAGCTAATTCATTCTTCATGTGACCACAAATTTATTCACCTCTTCCCTGAAAACAGTCCATCCAAAGTCATAGCTGATGATGGGATTCCAGAGATAATGTCATAGAGGCACTGTTCTTGGAGTCCAGAATCTCTAAGTGCTATCAATTTCTCTTAATATCTTGTCAAAAAGAAGGAAAATGGTGATAATTATTACATTTTAGCAAAAGACAAAAAAAAGTTACTTTTTTATGACCCTGTAACTAATACTAAAGCTGGCTTATTTTATCTTAGGTTTATCTCTCCACCACACATTCCATGTGCTGCCTTGCCTCTGAACTGTACCTCACTTGATTAGGATCCTTTGCCCAAAACAATGAAATGTCTTCATTCCTGAAGGATCTGAGGCTTTGGCAATCAGATACCTATTACTCTGTAAGTTAGTTTCCATTGATTTTTTTTTTCACTTTCTATGGATTTTTATCTTGGGGTATCCTTGGTAGTAAAAGTGTGTGGCCTGGAAGCTGCCCAATTAATATTGGTCCTCACTGTGTTACGGGCTTCCCTTGTGGCTCAGCTGGTAAAGAATCCGCCTGCAATGTGGGAGATATGGGTGCAATCCCTGGGTTGGGAAGATTCCCTGGAGAAGGGGAAGGCTACCCACTCCAGTATTCTGGCCTGGAGAATTCCTACAGTCCATGGTGTTACAAACAGTTGGACACAACTGAGAGACTTTCACTTTTCACTGTGTTAGAGCATCTCTATTTTTTCTCAATGAGATTGATGATCCCCTCTTGTGCCTGTTTTCCTAAGGCACCAGGAAACAAAAATGGCTACACGGCAGTCTTGGTGGGATCAGTGGGATCACTGTTGTGTTCACTGGTATTTTTACACTGGTTAGATAGGCTGCTTGATTAACAGAGCTCAAAAGGCAGAACTGTTAGCAGTAGCTTATTAAGTGAAATCTAAAAATAACCACACTCACTCTCCACCCCTTATTTCCCAGATTATTGTGTTCTAGCTATCGCAAGCATCCCTGTATACTGGGGATCTCTAACACAGAACATACATTTCATCCAGCCAGAGAAACCACAGTGTCCCCAGGACCACTATACATGAACTTTTGGTAGACTTCCTTATGTCATAAGACCATCCATGTTTCTGGATGGCAGAATAGCAATCATGCAATGGGGGCTTCCCTGGTGGTCCAGAAGTTAAGGGGGTGCAGCTTCAGTTACTGGCTGGGAAACTAAGATCCCACATGCCTCATGGCCAAAAAACCAAAACGTAAGACAGAAACAAAATTTCGAAAAAGACTTAAAAAAAAAATGCTATGAATCCCCAAAACATCCACCGGTTACCTCACTTCTTTTTGTGATGTGAATGAGGATAGGGCCACAGGCAAATTGTGAGGGATTAAAATGTCTAAGTTTCCAGTGTGCTGAAAAGATTGTTGTGTCTCCCTATGGGTAATTAAAATTTTAAGCGTTTGATTGTAATACAACACTTAAATGTACGTGGAAATTAACTTCTTTCCAGAGTTTCTGATTGGAAAAATTCCAAATTCATCAGAGCCTTACTATTCTCATTTTTTATTACCTCATTTCCTATGTTGGTACATAAAGTGACAGAAATGGAGGAACATGTGGTAGTGGATAAGACATGCAGAGCAAATGGGTACACATGCTTACTATATAATAAAGATAATTCGTCTTTTTCTGGAGCAAAAGGCAGCACACTTACTGCCCATGATAAAAGATTCAGGTTCTGTAAGTTCAGGGTTCCTGTCAGGTAATGCAACTCATCCTGTGTGCACATGTCATCTAGCCTGCCTTGTCTTACCCTAGGGCTCAGGTGCAAAGTGTGGTACAAAGATGCTGATACTCTGGCTACTGCTGTTGTTGAAAGTAATGAGCTTTCTGTTTTGTCCCAGTGTCTTCTGTTCTCACCAGCATCACCAGAACTACGTCGTTACTTAGCAAGTAGGATAATATCTCAGATCCTTCACAGTTCTTGGTACAAACAAGGCTTAAATTTGTTCACGGGTCTACTGGGTCATGAGAGAAGAGTAACCAATTTGTACTGCAGCTGGAACTGGGCTAGATCCCACTCGAAGCTGTCCATTTTTTTGAACCAAAATTATTAGAGCAGAAATTCTAAATGGTATGTGGCATGTTCAGCCTCCCATTTCCAGGCATTGTTTGTCTTGGCGGTAGGGAACATGCAGTTCTCTAGCCTGTTCTTTACTTTGGAATGGGAGATCGCTGTGGGATCCAGAATACTGAATTCATCCAAACTTTGCTAAAGCATATTCTTATTAACTTCAATTTTCTATTTCATCGCTGAATCTTACCAAGATATCTTAGGAAATTGTTCTTTTATGCCTTTCGGGTCCTGCTACATAGTGAGATGGTCGCCTTGCTCCCCACTAGACCGGGGCACAGAGTCACAGTGGCAGAAGAGTTACACTGTGCCACTAAATGACCAGGGGAAGGCCCATGCTTGACATGGAAGCAACATGCCAGGCGCCAGGGCCCTCTAGGTACCATAGCCACGGTGCACACTTGGCTGTCATTATAATGAGCATGGCACCTCTCATTTCCATTAATATAAGGGATCCATATCTAAGTGCAGCACTACCTGCCTTCATCAGGTTCTACCAAGATGGCAGTTAAGAGCTTGGACTCCAGAGTAGGATCATCTACATTGGAACGCTGTCTTTGCCACTTTCTAGCTACGTCATCTTGAGAAAGTGACTTAACTTCTCTGTGTCTCAGTTTTGTTGCCAATATAAAAATGACATTACTTGCCTCATTCTACTCCTTTGGAATTGAAGGAGTTAATATACGTAAAGTGCTTAGAACAGAGCCTGGCATCTAGAAAGTGCTGTTAGAAGTATTAGCTATTGTACAGGGTGTGTCAGGGAGCACATTTTAAAAGACTCAGATGCTTCCCTTATCAATCTGCTCTTAATGATGAAAAAAGGGAGAGAGATTTCCGGGTGTTATCAGTCTTTGAATTCTTCTCTCTCCACTGTATCAGGTTCTTTCTGGCCTTTTGGCATCACCTAACATAGTGCAGGTATTGGGACCAGTTTACATTAGTCAATACAATCCCTTAGAACCCCAGCCAGCAGCCTTAGCTACCATAACAAATGCAGTATCACTATGACAATAAATAAAAAATAATCACAAATTATGTTTTTCAATCTTTTGTCAACCATTTCAAAATTCCTGGTCCATAAACATTTCCTCTGAGTTTTAACAATAAAATGAGCATACTCTATAATTTTCAGTTCTATGGTATAACTCTTTTCTATTCTGATAGTGATTAACACTCTCCTGTTTGAGTCAGAATCCACCATTTGACAATGAGTAGGGAAAAGGAGGGATTTTTAGATTTAGTCTACAAGGGAAGCACAGCAGGAAGTG